AAATCAACAAAATTTATACAATACATATACACGTAGGTCATACTACAAATAAACATGAAAATCTAACACAATGGAAATGATACAAACTGTGAATTCTGGGAGGTTTTTGGTGATTGTTTCCTCCCCTCCCTCCAGCATCCCTGTGATTGATGTTCTCAGAACTCGTGAGAAAACCTCAATCTGGTGGCAGGCTGTGGACACTGAGGTTATCTCCCCCTGGTAGCCAGCATCTGATATTAACTACAGAGATAAAAAATTCTCACATTATTTCATGTATAGTTTTTACATGCATGTATTTTTGGTTACAGTTTTCAATCCACCCTTTTCATTGATTTCTTTTTTTCTTTTTTTTGTTTATGTCATTTGTGAATGAACTTGGTTGAAGGACTGTCAGAATAACAAGAACAATGTGGAAAATAAACATACTGCCTTACAAAATGTCTTACCTTGACTGTAAAGTTAAGCATTAGACAGTCTGGGTACTCTTCTGCCAGCTTGTAAAACAACTCTCTCCATGTAGGAAACTCAATCATCTCAGCTAACCATGAAGGAGTCTACAAGTATCCCAGCAATTCACTATAACTGTTATTTTACTGTACAAAATTTCAGATTGAGACTTTATTTCAATCTATGAGTAAATATTTTAATACATTATAAGCCAGTCCGCATGTTCTTCATTACCTCTCCCTCATCAGTAAAGATAGAATCAGCCTTTTTAGGATCAAAGTGTTTCATAATCATTGTCTTCAGATGATTCTCCACCATTTCCTGCACAATTTTGATATCCACACCTGTAAAATCAAACATTTTTCAAAATTACTTGTTCACAAGTCAGCAGTTATTATTTTCATTGTTTTAAAACCAAAAAGTTATTTCTTTCATATTAACTATGCTGGAACATTTTCCCACTTTGATGAATGTGTTCATGAGTTCTAGAAACAAGAGGTCCATGGACCACAGGGCTCACTTGAGTCACCTTGGCCCTACTGTTCTTCAGAACAGTGCACTATCCTTACCCAGGGGACCATGATTTGAAACTTTTATCTTCACAACTGAGAATGCTTGCATTTTAATATCATTAATCATAGCCCTATCATTCTTGAGAAGATTTTTCAGATTTCCCCCTTTACAATCCCATGTAAAAATTTCATCCTCTTTTGTGACCCTATCTTACATGTACCCCTGGGGGGGCCATGATTTGAACAAATTTGAATTTCCACTACATGAGGATACATGCTCATTAATACAACTAATAATGGCTCTGCTGTTAGCGAGGACATTTTTCAAAATTTTTTCTCATATATTCCCATGTAAATTTTGATCCCTATTGTGGACCCACCCTAGTACCAGGGTCCATGATTTGAACTAAATCTACACTACTTGAGAATGCTTGCATTTTAATATCATGAATCATGGCCTAGCTATTCATGAGAAAAAGATTTTATAAGAACTTTCCTACACAGTCAATCTTCATTATCTCAAACTCGATGGGACCAAGAAAAAACTTTGAGATATCTGAGGATTCAAGATATCAGGGGTAAAATACTTAAAGAATAAGTGGTTGGGACTTCCAAATAACTTCGACATATCCATGGTATTCGAGATATCAGTGTTCAAGATACTGAAGTTTAACCAATTATGGCCTTGCTGTTCATGAGAAGATTTTTCCTACAATATCCCATGTTTAACTCTGATCTCCTCTTGTGGCCCCATCCTAACCCTGGGGCCATGATTTGAACAAACTTGAATCTACATTATGCCAGGAAGCTTACACATAAGTTTGGTCTTTTCTGGCCCAGTGGTTCTTGAGATTTTTTTTTAAGACTTCCACCCTAATTTTAGCCTTTTCTTGATTATCTCCCCTTCAGGTGGACCCTTCATTTCAACAAAATTGAATCCCCTACAACCAAGGATGCTTTGAGCTGATTTAGTTGAAATTAGTTTAGTTATTCTAGAGAAGTCAAAAATGTGAAAAGATAACAGATAGACGGATGACATACAAACATTAATCAGAAAAGTCCATCAAAGCCTTCGGGCAATTGACCAGATGAGCTAAAAAGCCACACTTTTAAGATTTGAAAATTTAATCCTTAGAAGTTAAATATATATATAATACAAGCTTATTATCTCTGAAATCTGAATTGTTTCTAAATAAATGATAAAGGTTTCTTCATCATAACAAATAACCCCTATAAATTTTGGCTTAATTCACATGAAGGACCCAGTAATGCCTGATCCCCACCTGCTTGAATGAGCCACTCGGCTAACAGGTTGACAGTCTGAGCTACAGCTGTGTAATTATCAGACAACATCTCTACCACTTTTTCTGGAGATCCACCAGCTTGCAAGAATCTGGAGAGAATGCAAACAGATTTCTTATACTTTCTACAAAATTCTCAACCTCCAATTTTCTGATAACCTGATATGATTGTACTGTTACACTAAAAAGTAAATCAAATAAAAAATCTATGTCATATAACTTGTTATGCTTCTAAAAAATGAGAACACATATTAATGTAGTATTCTGTTGTAGTTTTTAACTCAAAATAAACTAGAAGTTTTTATCATGAGAAGGAAAAATGATGCAATGTAAAAAAAAAAAAATACAATCTACCAGGGTATATACTCTTTAATTCATGTTTTTAATCTTTTCTTCCCATTACCTTTTCAGTGTGCCAAACACTCCTGGTTCCATAATGTAATCTTTACATGAGAATAAGTCCAAGCACTCCTGTTGGGCAGCAAACTTCTCTTCTTCATCCTCTTCATCTTCCTCTGGTGACTATTAACAATAAAACATAGGTAATCAAAGATTACAGAGCTCACCTCAAGGAATGTTATCTTTAAGTAAGGCAGAGTCTCACACTAAACTATATAATCTAGTAGTGTGCATCCCTAGATGTAACATTAGGGCAGTTTTGGTCAGATATTAACTAGTCACTCATCTAGAAAATGTAAGTCAAATCCAGCATCTGAAGCAAGTTTGAGAGTGTTCAACCCTTGATGCAAGTTTGTTCTAGGTAGGGCTTTAAGTTAAACTGGAATGAATCTGCTCCAAAAACTTAAAACCTGGTCATTCATCTGGAAAATATGTCAAATCCAGCATCTAAAGCAACTTTGGCAGTGTGCATCCTTGATGCATCATCCATGCAAGTTGGTTTCAAATAAGCCTTATAGTTTCTTGGTAATGGACCTGCTCCAAAAACTTTAACCTGGTCACTCATCTGGAAATGTAGGTCAGACCCAGCATCTAAAGCAAGTTCAGTAGTGAGCATTCTTAGAAGTATCATCATGCAAGTTTGGTCAATAGAGGCAGGGACTGACAAATCCCATTGCCCGATGCCCGGGGCTAGTGAATTTTAAGGGTGGGCAAGTGAAATTTTATCAACTACTTGCCCATGGGCAAGTGACTTGAAAAAAATAAAATCCATATGCAAGTCATAGATCTAAAGCTTTTACAGGGGTTTGCATGATCTACTCAGTATTTGTCTTCTATTTTTTTTAAATATATATAAATATGATAATAGTTTATGGTGGGACAAGCAAATATTCAGGTAGGGCAAGTGAATTTTGACCATGCACTTGCCCTTGGACAAGTGCCTAAAAAATCTATTTGTCAGCCCCTGATAGAGGGCTTATAAGTACTTGGAAATGAGATCTGCTCCAAAAACTTTAACCTGCTCCAAAAAACATTAACCTACTCATTCATTAGCTGATACTGCAGCATCTGAAACCTTGACTGGTATAATTAAACATACTAGTAGCATCATCCATGCACCTCTGATATAGGGCATAGAAGTTCTTGAAAAGAAATAAAGAGATATGCTCCAAAAACTTTAACCTTGGATGCTGACGCCAAGGGTATCACATTTAAGCCTCCCCCCTCCACCAACTTCAACTTCATTGAGGTGAGCTAAAACTCCATAAATTTAAAGTCTGATTAAGGATGGGGAGGCCGAGGGTCCCTCCCCCCTGATGGATCTGTCATTTCTGTATTCATGCAAACATTCATTTAGCATGATGGACAATTGGGATCTAGAGTAAAAAAGTTTTGGATTCCCTTAATTGAGTACAACATTCTCCAATTGTAAACCTATAAAGAGTCAATCCATAAACAGATTTTCTGGTTAGAAGTCCATAATGGTACAAAGTGACTAGAAACTGCAGAATATCATGGGTATGTCAAAGTGATTTGGAAGTCCCATCCACTTATTCTTTATAAGTATTTTACCCTCGATAATTCGAATCCTCAGATATCTCAAAGTTTTTTCTTGGTTCCATCGAGTTTGAGATAACGAGGTTTGACTGTATATCAAATGTCTAGAAACATAGAGATGTTCTAGCATAGACTATAGAATCTTGTCTTTAAAGCGAGCAGTGTGAAGTGAAGCAACCTCTATAGACTAATGTTTAATAAAAGAGCAAATTCACTTCAGAATGAAATCTTCACTTTCCTCAGAAAAATTTTGAGTGAAACCTTCCCAGAACCCTTTTGCTACCATAATTCCATGCAATAATGGTAAATATAACAGGACCGCAGTTATCGTGAAGATTTAGTTCTTGCACATAGTGCAATGGAAGCTTCTAAAAACAAGAAATTCAAATAAAAGAGACAATTACATCTCCCCCATCGTGTCCACCGTCCCACATATTCCCTTCGTCATCCTCATAGTCGTCCATTTCTTTGAATCACGCGAAAACAGACGTAAAATTTGCAAAATTTTACAATCAAAGACAAAAAATTGCTAAGAACGCTTCCATCTTGAAAATATGTCAAGTTGTTCGCTGATTTAGTCGTATTGACAGTCATTAAGTAATAAATTTGAAATACAAGACAAGCAGTAAAAAGGTTTTTAATATAAAAAAGTTTGAAGAACATTATTGAAATTATAGGAGTTAAATAATATGAAGGAAACCTTTTAGAATTGACAACTTGATTGTATTTCGAAGCAGTCTGGTATTACCTAACCAGCGTGTATCGGGTGCGAAACTGAAAGTAGACGTAAATGCAGAAAAAATCTCATTTCAAGTCGATTGAGTAAGCTTTAGTAATAAATATAAGCACATTGTCTAATTTGACCAAAAACTACTATTATGTAATCTTTTTCTTATGAAAATTTAAATGATCTACACATACCTGCAGCATTTGTTAGCAACCGAACACTTGTTGCAATGTTTTAAATGCATTCTTTCATTAATTCAGCAAAGATGATGTAAAGATTCAACATTTGGAATGGATTTTCTTTGGGAGAAGCTGAAATCAATCAATGCCAACCACTTCATATTTGTGTTACTTTGTGGGGTCATTGCTTACCTATTCCGAGCCAGTGATTCCTATAATCTGAAACCAGTTTGGAGGAAAAGAAGTGAACCTCATCATTTTACCAACAAGTTAGTGTTCACGTTATTCTTAACCTTAGAGGCAAACATGAGAAGCATGTTTATTTGTATTTCAAGAAACATGTTCATTGAATATTTAGAACTAATTTGTTTTTTGATGATAAATTATACCTTAAACTTTGAACTATGTTGTAGTTTTAATTAGTATTTTAAAGGAATAACTGCTTCAAGATATTGTTTTTTTTTTTTTTTCAATTTTATAATCAGGATATACCCTACACCTGATGACCGTCTCCCCTCACCGATAATAACAGACCTGGATGGAGATGGAACAAATGAAATCCTTCTGATCACTCATGACTTCAAGTAAGATTAATATGTCTAGTAATCCATTATTAAGAAAGCAATATGTTCAAGAAATTTGATCTCTTGAGTTTGCAAAAAACAAACATCCTGTTCGAAAAGAAAAATTCATTTTTTGTTTAAAAATTTAACTACCTTTAGTAAACAAGTAGTCTTAAAAGTGATAAATACTAGGTAACTCCAATAAATACTAAGTAACTCTAGTCAGTGATTGTGACAAAATATTGCAGTTTCCATGAAGTTAAATTGACACCCACTGATTTCTACAGGTTAAATATTATGGCCCTCCCTGACCCTGTGACAGATGAAGAGGATGATACACTCCCTCATGTTGTCGTCAAACAGAAAGCCGTCCTACCTATAAACGTCTCGGAAGTCAGTCGACCAGTGGCCATGGAGACAGGGTTTACCATACCTTACAGTTCCATGATGCAGATAAGAAAACAGGTCAGAACAAAGGTTATCTGCTAAACATTTCATTAAAATAATTTAATGTAAATTAAAGTAACATAATTTATAATAGTTATGTTTATAGAATGTAGATGTTATCTATATTAGGTCGAACTTGAACATTACTGAAAATTTCATTTAAGAATTTACATAAAAATTTTGATGTGCAGAACATACTGTAAATGTATTATATTTAGCGTGTGAAGGATATTTGGCAAAATTGATTTTTGAACAAGTTAGGTAGATTTGATTTAACGCATTTCTTAATGTTTTTATTTATTTATGTAGTTAAGTGCAAGACATTTTGTGTTGTACTTGAATTAGTGGAAGCTTCTTTCCCCAAAAGGCACTAAAAACAATACACAACTAAATAAAATACATGTATGTTTACAGTATTAGATTGTATATGTTTCTCATATGGTAATATAAATGAACTTGGCGCATCTTCAATATGTCTATTGACTGGAATGTTTTTGTTTATGAAGTCATTGGTTTGAAATTTCCTCCATGTATTTAGTCATACTAAACTAAAACTGTATAAAAACTACCTAAATATTTTCAGATCATTGTGGTTGTGACAGATGATTGGCAGGTCCTATGCTACAATCACAATCTGGAGTTACTGTGGCATAAAAGATTTATGGACGTCAGTCGTGTGAGAGAGACGTACACAGTTAAAGCCATGGGGACCTTGATCACAGCCCACAATGTCAAGAAGACTGACCAGGGACTGGTGATTGTGGGTGGTAGCTTTACCCACTTAGTGCATGCACCACCAGATGCAACCACCCCTAAAAAGTAAAGATATATAATAATAACAGTGATGTTTTATAAAAAATATTCACTACAAGAATTTGGCTGTAAGTTTATGTATACTAGATCTGGAATCAGAATTGTTTGGGAGGGGGGGAGGGGGGCAATGTTTTTGGATTTCTTGGGTCATTCTCACCCACGAATTTACATCCCCACAAATGATAACTTTGTCAACTTATAGGTAAATTCCCACAAACACTGACCCCCACAAATTAAAATGATTGCACATTATTCTTTAGTGTGTTGATTGTCCTATTTGCCAGACATTTCATTTTAACTATCTGCACTGTCTTACTAATGGTTAGAAACATTCACCTTTAATCATATTTAAGAAAAGTTTGATTGACTTGAAGATGGTCACATTTAATCATTACATATTCTAGCATAAATATCTATAATATACAAGTACTTTTCCCACAAAGTGTGAATCAGACAGAAGATAAACAGAAGAACTCCACAGAAGACAACACCCTGACCCACTTTAGCTCCTTTGCCGTTAGTGCATTAGATGGCACAGTGAGGTGGCACCACCTGCCTGGGGATTTTGGAGAAATAGCAACCAACATCAAGGTACTAATACAGGAAATAAGTTTTTTGAAACATGTAATATCATAATATCATTCTTGAAGAAAATGATTACATATACACTTACCATAATTTTAGTTTGATGAATGCCAGTCTATTATTAAATGTCAATATGGTGGATCTTTTGTAGGATATCCATGGAGACCACCACTGGAAGCTGGCTTTGAAAAGACACAGACTCCATGTTGGAGAGGCTCCCTGGACAATGTACAAGAAAGAATTCAACAGTTTTACAGTATGTTTTAATGCTGTAATATTATGGTAATGTTGACTCCACCCCAATTTTGAATAGGCATAGTACAAGTACTAGTATGATTCCATGAAAAATCTTTTTTCCTTTGAGGTAATACATTTATGTACCAGTACATGTATCATCTATATGATGCATATGTTTAGAATCTGCTGTTTGCTGTTTTAAGGTTATATACTGCCATCTTTCCATTACTTTCAATCTTGTCTTTGGAGGGTAATGCACATGAACTGAATAAGCCTATGCATATAAACTATTAGGTTATCAATGGCTTGGCAGTAAAAGTTTATATTTCAGAAATACTGATATTTATATTAGAAAATATTTTTTTATTTGAAGCCTCACTTGTGGAGAAACCTGGAGGACACAGAGCTGACACTGGGGAGATTTAGAAAGTCTGAGGAGACAAGCCAGTCAGACACGCCTTCTTCTCAGAGAATGGCCTTGACCCCTGAGCATGTCATTGGATATGCATATGGTGGACATCGACCACACAGTAATCATGAACATGTAGAAAATCCAAACTCAGTGGTCATCCACACCCACAATGGTATAGAGGTCCTGAATCTTCTGAGTGGTCGACCGGTCACTGAACTCCGTCTTCCTGGGGACGGGGCAGTGTATTTGGACATTGATGGAGATGGAGAGATTGAACAAATTCTCTGGGGTCAGCAGGATGACTACAGTCCTTGTTATATTGAGATCTGGCGGATTAATCCGGTGAAGGAACGGATAGAGCAGCTACCAGTTTGTCGGATTACTCGCTTGTTCTTCACTTCATCTTGGGCTTATGATGAAGATAACTTAAAGAAATTACCACCCATTATTATCAAAAGGTAAAATGAAAGTAAAGTCAAACCTCAAAATTTTTAATTTAAGAGGGTTTGATATATACTTTTCAAAAGATTCAGGATATCATAGGATTCAAGATATAAATGTTGAAAGTCAGATATCTGAACCCTCAACTCACATCAGTAGATTCCTTGTATTTTATCTGCTGGTGCATGAGTTGAAGAAATCCTACTGTACTTAATTCAAAACAAAATATATTACCCAGTATGAGCAATTCAAAACTGGTTGTTATCAGTCTTTTTGTTGCCCTCATAGACATTAAGATTTCACCATTCCCCCAAATGTCCATCACGATTTGCTGAAAGAACTGGCTCCAAGACCATAAACTGAGAACAGACTTAAGTCAAAATTTCGAATCAAATTATTTTTTTAAAATAATTAATCAAATTATTTTTAAAAATAATTTTGATAATGAAACAATTTTTTTCTCCATATATATGGATTTTAGTAATATACACACCTGCAAAGTTTCATGCACATAAGTTAATTAGAACTCTAGATATTTAAAATTAAAATTTTGACTTAAGTCTGTTCTCAGTTTATGGTTTTGAGGCCTGCTCTTTCTCTCTGTCTCATTTCTTTGTGTCAGAAAATTCTAGAATTTTCACTTTTGCAAGTATTAGCAGAATGAATCGAAGGTGAAATCAAGTGTGGTTATTAATTCAAACCATTTGTATGTTTTCAGTGTTGCAAGGAAAACAGGACTCATAAGATACTTAATGGGTCACCATCTTCCGAAGTTCTCACATAAATATGACATCATCACATTTGGAGGTGTTGGCAGAGTGTCTTCTTGGGACAGAGAAGGAAATGCCAATTGGCAGGTAAAAGAGAATGATAAATTGATTTTGAAAAATCTGATGAAGATTAAATACACAGAATATCATTAGCAAACTGGTTAATTTCAATAGAAGTCATGCTTATTATGACCACAGAGATAAGGCTTATTTAACAGCATTCTTTATCATCAGATCCAACATGTCTATAATATGATAATCCATTCTTCTGTCCATGGACCTTGACATGGCCTAACCCTTAGTCTAGGTCAATTGGACAAGGTTGCATTTTTTTAGAAGTATATAATGTACTATTTTGGGCTGTAACTTTATGGTTATGGGATTGTAGAGGTTCACAAAGGTAGCCTGAGAACAGAGGACTTGTATTTACTATAATTCAGTAATTCTTTGACAAGTCAATCCCAATTATATGGTTTGCTATGTAAATTTGTGTAAGATCTTCAGTTGTGATTTTTCTGTGATTTTTAAAGTGACCCATATACTGTTTGGAGACCCCTTAATAATAAACTATCCCTACCCTTTCCTGGCTTTTTGATTATTGATCACAAATACATATTACTCATGCTGTAAGAGTTATTAGGGTAAAATATTCCTGATTTAATTTATCTGCCCATGTTTAAGTTAACAACTTTAGACATTTTCTATGATAGGTTGCAACTCCAGCAAACTGGGCTAAAGCATCAACAGATATAAAGAAAAACAAGGAAAGAGATCATCCTGCCTACCAGAGATTTATGGAGGAGTTCTGGCCAAGTCGAGTTCTGATGTCTATCCCTGTGTATGGTCAGAAGGTATTACACTTTTTGTGATTTGATTTGAACATATTTTATTATGTAATAAAACATAAATAGAATGGGCAGCAGGCTTAGGCTAGCCTATACAAGCCCTCTCCATGGAACACTATAAATGTATCGTATTTTTTATCTTTTAATTAAGGACATACACAACATAGTTTTGAACTTAATTTATTATGAAGTTCCAATAATTGAAGGACATTTTGGACTTTTATGATAATGTCTATTGATCCTGATAATGATCTATTGATTTTGAGGAAATGCTAGCTCAAACTATATGTATGGTAATTTTTGTATATTTTTCTTTGTATAACACAAGGATTTTCATCATTTGATAACTTCAAAACCCCTGGTAATGTACATGTTTGCTGATTTTTTGTCTAAGAACATCTGATGATACAATGATTTTGAATAAAGAATAACTTGAAAAGTTACCAGTGGGTGAGTTACGTTGTGTATGACTTTAAGCAAAGGAAATTTGATTGATATATCGCAAATCAATGTAGAAGACATTTGCCGATATTTTGAAAAATGTCTTTTATTTTGTAATTTATTTACATTTATGTTTGTTGCTTAGCATATTTAAGGTGGAAAAAACAGTAAGATCTACAAAATCATGTACTTGTACATAAATGTATTGTAAATTCATGTCCTGCAGAATGTGGTGGCCCTGAGTGGTTATTCTGAGTTTGTCCTGGTGGACTTGGTGAGTGGTAACCTCCTGGCAGAACATTCCCTCCCCTGCCACCCCACCTCCCCTCTGATTGTGGGAGACTTTGATAACGATGGGGTCAATGATGTCATAGTCACATGTAGTCTAGGGTAAGCGCTGTCTTTTCTTCTCATTGTCATTAAAGTCAGATTGCCATCAGATGGAGGCTTGTAATACATCAGTGACAGGACCCTGTTTTTCAAAATAACTTGCAACTAAGGCCAAAATCTACTTTAGCAATTTATTTTATTCCTTAACTGTGCAAGAACAATTCGATCAATATTTTTAAGAAGAGATGAGTTTTTTTTTCTGAGAAAGTCATGAAATTGGCAAAGTTTTATAGCTACGACTTTGTCGTAAAACGTCACTTTAAACACTATTTTTATAAGGGGCAGTGATTTTTTTCAAAGTGAGTATGGAATCTTTGTTTATTTCATCAGGTACATAGGATTTTCTCTTCATCACAAGACAAACCACATTTTTACTGCAATGTATGGGCTGACTGTCTTTAGCCTCATTATTCTACTTAACTGGCTGTGCTCACCGCAGTCATTTTATGGAGAAGATGACGAGGAGGAACCAAGTGATGAAGATGAAGATGATGATTGAATTGATGATGGTGTGGCTTACGTGTAGATCAAGATCCAGGAAAATAATATTGCAAAACAACCATAAATTAAAGGAAGACTTTAAAAGAAAGAGAAAGAAAAGGGTTACGGAGAAGATGTTAGTTGTGGGGTGTTCTTTCAGAAAGCAAAACGTGAGTATTCCAAGAAGTGTTCATTGCCAGCAGGACTGGAAAACTTAGAGAGAAAGAGAGATAGTAAGATTTCAGGCCAAGGAGCAGTTGATGCAATAAGTTTCATGCAATATGGAAATGAACTTAATGAAAATCTGTAATTGGCATAATAAAAGTGTAACCCCCCTCCCCTCACATTCAACCTTAAAAATGTGACCTTTTTCAGAAAACATTTCCTTGCTTGCAAGTTCCTTTTTATGAAGATCATGTTTTGTTGACATTATTTGCAAATTTCTTTATATTTAATGTGATAAATAAACAACTTTATATTTTACCTATAAAGAAATTTGAGATATTTTCATGTACATTTGATACTAATTGCTACATGTAAAATTTACATACTTTTAAATTGTTTGAATTTAGTTACATATGATATCATTATTGTTCTTTGCATAAAATGCAAGACAAACCATGAGTGTGCACATCTGATGAAGCTGATTCTTAATTTCTTAGTTTTTTGGGGTTTTTTTAATGAGTAGGCCTATACCTTGTTACCTTGTTACATGTAGTTACCCGGTACATGGGAATCACAATCCATATTATGTACCTGCAAAAATAACCTCATATATGTGTACTTATTTTAAATCTTGAATTTAATTCTAAGGGTGCATTTCATTAATTTAATTTCAGGGGCATATTTTAATGAAGTTGTTGAAATAAATTATTTTTGGTGCCAAGCACTTTTGTATTTTTCGTATTTAAAGAATATTGATTTTTAATTCCAAATGTTGATGTTTTTGTTCACCTAAAATTAATGGTATGTAAAGAGACATATAGGTTTCAGAACTTTTGCAAATTAGTTCCCAGTTTTTCTCCAACTTTCTTTCCTGAACTTTTTAATTAAAAATTGAAGAAATGATAGTTGGAGGAAACCGGTAACTAATGAGCACACATAATGAAACCTTTTTCTCCCTTTACTCTTATAAAATTCTTTAATATACTATCTGAACATTATTACTCCACGAAACACTCACAAAACAATACAGTGTATTGTATAGCATACCATGACGTCATAATAAATGTTTACTAATGTGTTAGAGAACTAAACAAGATGTGTTTGTGAAACACTGATGCCCCCCTATGGCAGCTTTCGGCGAAGGTTAAAGTTTCTCAAATGCAAGTCGAAATCCAGGCCAAAAGAAAAAAAAAAATGTTAAATTTGAAAGCCCTTGCTGCAACTGTTCAAGAGTTATGGCGAAGGTTAAAGTTTTTTAAAAGTAAGTAAAACATCAAGGTCAAGGTCAAAGTTGTTGGCATCCAAAGGAAGGTCATGTCAAAAGGATTACATATGTAAAGTATGAAAGCCCTAGCACCAACTATTCAAAAGTTATGGCCAAGATTAAAGTTTTTCGAAAGTAGGTCAAACTCCCATGTCAATGTCAAAGGGTCAAAGTGGTTGGTATCCAAAGGAAGGTCTTGTCACAAGGACTATGTATGTGAAGTATGAAAGCCCTAGCACCAACCATTCAAAAATTATGGCCAAGGTTAAAGTTTTTCAAAAGTAGGTCAAACTCCTATGTCAAGGTCAAAGGGTCAAAGTGGTTGGTATCCAAAGGAAGGTGATGTCACAAGGATTACATATGTGAAGTATGAAAGCCTTAGCATCAACCATTCAAAAGTTATGGCCAAGGTTAAAGTTTTTCAAATGTAGGTCAAACACCTAGGTCAAGGTCAAAAGGTCAAAGTGGTTGGTATCCAAAGGAAGGTCTTGTCACAAGGATTATATATGTGAAGTATGAAAGCCCTAGCTCTAACCTTTCAAAAGTTATGGCCAAGGTTAAAGTTTTTCAAAAGTAGGTCAAACTCCAAGGTCAAGGTCAAAAGGTCAAAGTTGTTGGTATCCAAAGGAAGGCCTTGTCACAAACAATACACATGTGAAGTTTGAAACCCTAAGCTCCAACTGTTCAGAAGTTATGGCCAAGGTTAAAGTCTCATAAAATTTTGCAAAAGTGGGTCAAACTCCAAGGTCAAAAGGTCAAATATGATGGTACCCAAAGAAAGGTCTTGTCACAAGGAATACACATGTGAAATATGAAAGTCATAGCTCCAACCAATCAAAAGTTATGGGCAAGGTTAAAGTTGACAACAGACAGACAGACAGGACAAAAACAATATACCCCCAGGATCTTTCGATCCGGGGGCATAAAAAGAATTATTGTACGGTAATGATTAAACATCTACATGTAGCGGTAAAGGGAGAAAATTCTTTATGATGTAAGTATTGAATATATCCTGATCTCTCCAATATTTTGATGCCAATCTCTATGACCTCCATATTTAGCAGATTTGATTCTCATACTTTTCCTTGAAGTTATCTTGATATTACATGTATTTACATGCTCAAGACGCACCCTCTTGTCATAAGCATTCATGAAGAGAAGTACGCATGTATAAACTTTTACTTAGAGAAAAGTCGGGCTGCTAAGATTGGTATCTCTAACAGTGATTAGTCACTGCATCTTTCTTAAAATTTTATTAAGGCCCTGCTATGCACCTACGCTCTAGTGATCAGTCTGTCTGTCCAATATCATTTGTCTGCAATATATTTTTCTCTCCTTTTGGCCAAATCTGGCTCATACTTCACCCATAGAATGCCCATGGATAGAGGATATGCAGTGACCCCTAAACAAATTTTGTAGATTAAAGGTCAAGGTAAAAAAAAAACTATGTAACATCTTTGTCAAGAGTACTTTTTCTCTCCCCTTGCCCTATTCTTGCTCACACCTTACCCAAAAAGTGCCTGTGGGTAAGGGGCATGCAGTGAACTTGAACCAAGTTTCTATATCAAAAGTCAAGGTCATAGCAGATCTCTCTGTTCCAGAGCATATTTTTTCTGCTTTTTGCCTTATCTGGCTCATACTTTACCCATGATCTATAAACTCAGGACAGCTTTCTAGTCCCATTCTATCATAAGTAAAATTTAGTAATTCATTGATCACCTAATTTCATGCTCTGGCTCAACCACAAAAGCAATAAAAATTGGTGTTTTGTACTTTTCATACTGAGATTCAAAATTCATAACCAGTAAGTGAATAACAAAACAAACATCTTAATTTTCAACATAAATATATTTAATTAACTTCTTCCATTTAAAAAAAAAAATACAAACCTTCCATATTCATTAAAAATATCTGTTTAAAAGGGAAAGAAAAAAAAATTGATATGTATCATACCTTTCAATAGAAAATCTTCTGGATAAATAATTCAAATAAAAGCAGTGGTAAAAACCGACATGCCACAACATGGAATGGAATGTACTTAATACATCAACAACATTTATCAATAAACTGCTGAATATTCAAAATACAAAAAAAAAAACATGGACAGAATATTTGTATGATGTACATGACTGTATAAATACTTTGTAATACATGTACTGGAGCAAGATATGTGGCTTTGTGTAGTGTATACAAGTACATGTACTTCAATCTCTGACTTTAAATAATCTTCATAAGAAATTAAGACCGAATGATGTCAAAAAGGTTCGTTTCCTTACATTCTTGCTCTTGAGCTCTTTTGAAAAGCTTGACACCATACTGGGAGAATGGAATGCAATTGTTTAACTGTCGCTGGACCAGACCTGGACTTGAACCCAAGCCCCATGAATCAATCAACTGAACAACCTGACCATCCGTGATCAGATCTGCCTGACCGCTACACATGGTTTCAGGCAAGCTAGCAAGTGTCTTCCAGGTTCTTTTGACATGATGTAAGTAATGCATATGTACATTAAATAAACTAAAACGTGTCAAAGCTTTCATGATATTGACAAGTGATAGGTAAATCACTTTCAACTTCAGTGTACACAATACTATCTAAGTAACAAGCAAAATATTAATCCCCCCCTTTTTTGAAAAAAAAATTTCCCCTAGAAAATTGCATTCCTTTAAAACAGATAAAGTACAGTGTATAAACAACTAATTTCAGCAAAGAGACTTTGCAACACTTCTTCATATGCAACTAATTCCTACAGAACCCGTCACAATGAAGTTTTGATTGTGAACAGGGATAACCTATGTCATTCACCAAATCTGAAGTCTCTGTTTGTATATATTTCTTTTGATGGACAAACAGACAGACCAGGATCTATGATCTTGCAAGCATAAAAACACACGATATACATGTAATAATATTATTAAAGCACCAGGCATGAACTCTTCAAAAATGTCTGTGTCCAGCACAGATATTGAAAACAAAATGAATATCAAGCAAATCTACACTATAACAATAAAATTCTATTTTAAAACAAATATACTTTAGGAAAATGTAATTCATAATGGTTGAAAAATAATGCTATTAAATAATGATATTTTTGGTTTGTTGAAAATATTTCTTATACAATTAATGTACACATGCCATGGCACTATTCTTTATTGATGAAGAGGTGTACACACTGCAACATTTGGGTAAAGCATCTAGAATATATTCCTGATTTAGTTACACAGAAACAAATGTTTATGAATTTACATTAATTCTGCATGTTCTAATACATGTACATACATGTATATATACCTATACAAATAGTATACAAAACATCAAATTAATAGCACATCTGTTTGTTTCTCTGACTATTTCATACATTATGATATGGATTTCAAATAGAAATACCTGTGTATACATATAAATATAAATATATATATGTATTTTAGTGTTGTCAACAAGTAACTGGTTAACAGTCAAAGGCTACCATCAGTTAGTAGAACTGCTACTTGGATGTACAGATATTTTACTGAGTAAATAAGTAGAGAAGAAATGATATTTTGTTTTTTAAAAGTATTCTTACTAACATGCCATTGATTTTATTTACCATTATTAGTCTCAATCTAAGAGTTTTTCTTCTGATTTAACAAGATCCCAAACAACAAAAACATGGAAATATTTAAGAAGACATGTTAATTTTAACCTGCAAAGTGTAGACATTTGAAATGGAATAAACAAACATGCAACAAAGTCAGCTAATACAGGGTATTTTCTTGAACAAAAAAAATGCCCTAGTTGGAGTGACATTTGAGAGCAAATTTATTTAGAAGATAGTGTGTGTTTGTAATTGTAAATAATGCTCACATTCAGTGCATCTTTTTTTTATATATATCCGAATATAAAATATACAGAAATTGTAAAAATGTTACATTTCTTATGGTCCTATTGAATATCTATTGCCAGCAAGGATGTTCAGAAATGTAATGAAAAATCATCCAAGAAACCCAATACTCAGTTGGAAAAGTAACCTGTTACTAAAAATCATCTGATTTGACAACACCAGCATAATTAATTTGAAAATTCAATACAAAACCTGAAGGTTCTTAGATATATACATGTATATGTACAAGTACATGAACTAAATTTAAAATACATCTGTTGTAATACATGCTTCAAAATCAAAGTATAACATGTAGATTTATGAGGTGAAATATTCAGACAAAAACATCTTCACTGTCACAGGCCAAAGAAATGTGTCTTTCTTCCTGAATATTAGACAAGTCAGAATGAGATTGAGTTTGTCGTCTGCTAATTTGATTGTTCAGACGTTGGTTCAGGTCTCCAAGTGACCTTCTGTATGAATTATCTGGTGATCTTTGATTCCTGGTTTCCTCTGGATTCAAATGAGAATGAATGGGTAGATTTCCAACAGAAAGGGATATGGGGCGGTCCTTCTCCAGGGGGCGTGGCTTGCTTATTCCATCTTCCTGCCTTGTGTTTGATTGACTACTTGCCAATCCTCCAGTTGGATGGTCTGAATTTCCCAGAGTGAGGCTACTCCTTGAGGCAACACAGTGTGTAGTGGGTAGATGCTGTAATGAGGTAGCCATTCCTCGTCTGTCCTCTGTCCATCTCTCTATAGGATGCAAACTGGAAAGGCTGGCTGAATTTGTCCTGGGTGGTGAATCTTTTGATCGATCATCAGAATCTTTAAAACCTTGATTTAGTATGCCCCTATGCTCTCTATCTGTAAAGTGATCCTCACTAAAAAGCAAACCCTTGGAGCTGCTGTCAGATGCTCTATTTTTCCGATCCTCTTTCGATTTTGTTTGCTTTCTTTCCCTCAAATCTTCATTTTTGTGATATTTCTCTTCCTTGAAATTGGGTTGATTTTTGGAAGAATCTAAATATTGGTTAGGTTTCTGTCTTGATGGACTGCCTGAAAAATTCCCTCTTGCAGTGGAACTTATGTCTCCCTTTCTCCCAGGCTCTAGTCCTTGCATGTGCAAAGATGTTCCTTTTCTATACTGTATTTGGTCTGATTGATGATCATATGGTTGTCTCTCTGAATTTTCTCTCACATCATTATCACTTTTTTGTCTTTGAGGATGAAAGCTTCTTCCTTCAATTTGCCTTCCATCTTTTGATCTGCTGGGGACCCTTTCTGTATACTCATGCTCACTCCTCTCCCTGTTTGAGGTTCTGGACCCTCGATTAGGTACCTCACTGTAAGAGGGACTATGAACTTTTGGGACAGATCGGTTCAGAGGTAGGTCTGTGGATGATTCGGAGCTGTAAGACATACTGTATGTATGATTAACGGGTCTAATTTCACCACTCTCTGCAGGAGGTGAGGTTGATGTTTGGGCTTCAAAGTTTGGTTGTTGACGTTCTATAGTGCTAAATTCTGGTGGTGGGTAGTCCTCCTCAATGTATTCTTCTTGTGGGGCCTCCACTGTCTGTCCTACAGCCTCATTGTATGTGGGTGGTTTAAGTACCCCATTTTCATATTCCTGGTAATAAATAATGAATCATTTTGAACCAAAACATTTTACTTATAATTTTCAAAGAAATCTTTTTAAGCTTTGTAATAAACAGGAAGTTGGCATTTACCAGTGGAGGTTCTTCATAGGGGGGACTTTCCAGTGCCTCCTCATAGGTGGGAGGGAAATCCACAGGCCTCTGAGCCTGTCTACCTCTACGACCTCCTAAAGGGAAACAACTCTTTATTACTGCGTCCACTCAGAAATATTTTTACTTTTTATTTCCTTTCTTGTCTATAATTCTAAACAATTAAACCCTTACAAATCAAGCAGAAATACAGAAGTTTTACCAGTACGTCTTCTTTTTAGTGCTACATTTACTATGTGAAATACTTTAACCCACTATTTGGACATTACACTTTCGATCAGACCAATTTTCCTCCCTTACTTCTATTACTTATTCCTCCACTGATCGTGGGTATCCCTGATTCTCTGTCCATCTCCCGTGCTCGTGCAATATGACATCGTCTTATAAGGAAGAAGAGAACACACAAGATGACGAGGAGGAAAACAGAGATGACGAGCGGAACGATGACACTGACTGTCATCGTGTAGTTAGTGCTCCGAGTATAACCGGATCCTCCACCTGGTCAAATCAGATAAAAATAGATTTAAGAAACATTTCAAACTACTGTCAGAGGTTTTACCCTACTTTATCTTTTCATTTTTAATATCATGGACCACTTAATCAATAATAAACTCAATATGAAATGAAATGTATGATGAATATCCCACTTAGACATTTAGAGTTGAGTTCATCAGAATTATCCCCACAATGGTTATATCTATCACACTCGAGCTCGCCAGGGATACATCGGCCATTGTTACAGTAAAACATTCCCCTTCTGCCACAGTCTATAAATAAATGAATCATATTAATATGAATGATTACTTATAAATTCAATCTTAGCACAGGAGCAACGGGCAGCATACAAACTCATCAACTTCACCTATAATGTACTGAAAAAGAATTGAAGTAGTTATTAAAGAAACATATCAAAATCACAATACATGTACTTAAATATTACAGTAAACCATGCCTGTTTTCAATAGTAAGAAGAGAATCACAATTTTTTTTTGTTCTAACATGACGTACACAACAGGACTATGTGTACAATTCATTCTAAGGAATGTTTAATGTCTTCCAGATTTCATACATATCATTTGCCATAAGCTTATTTTTTGTGGCTTTTGCCAAATGTGTATCTCTTCCAAATTTCTGAAGTGCAGCTAAAGGGGAAGGACCTTAAAGGTGCTTGGACACAGATTTGAAGTTAATATTTTCTCAAATTTTCTGTAAAATTTTATGACTTATATGTTGCTATAGCATTTCATACTAAAATATAATAAAAATCTTATTTCATCTCGAAGTTATTGAAACTTCAAATTTCTGAACGCGTTTGATTGACACATCCTTGCACTTTCACAATTTTTAATTTTATTCTTAATACTTAAGAAAAGTGGCAATTTTGTTGTGTATTAATGAAAAAAATTAAAACTATAATCCAGAAAATTCAGAGTAGAAATGTTCGAAAGCAAAACCCACTCACAGTATTGTCAGTCCGTGCTCAGTGGTGTGTGCAGACTTTAACAATTGAACACACCCGGTGAATCGTAAACATTAACAATAACAGAGCTCGTGCCCTGTTTACAAAAACAGTTTACGTTTCACGGGTGTATTCAATTTGTTAAACTCTGTACTCAACACTGAGCACGGGCTGACGATATTAGTGAGGGGGTTTGCTTTCGCACATTTCTACTCTGAATTTTCTGGATTATAGATGTAATGTTTTTCATTAATACACAACAAGATCGCTTCTTTTCTTAAATATTAAGGATAAAGATAAAATTTCTGAAAGTGCAAGGATGTGTTAATCAAACGCATCCAGGAATTCGTAGTTCCAATAATTTCCAGATAAAATAAGTATTTAATTACATTTTCGTGTGAAATGCTATTGCAATATATAAGTCGTGATATTATACAGAAAATTTGAGAAAATATTAACTTCAAACCTTTAAGCTGAAAAAAATTTTGTCATTCATTTTTTTTTTTCATATTTTGTATACATGTATTACTAATTTAGTATGTCATACATATCTTTTTTAAGTGTTTGTTTTCTTACCTTACTTCAGAGATATTGATAGACAAATACTACGCCATTTGGTGTCTATGTGAAGGTTTAATTCATGTTTATGAGCCCATTATTCTGACCATAATGGGAATTTTTAAGCACAGATCAAACATAGGTAATCAAAGATTATAAAGCTCTTTTCAAAGAATGTTATCTATTAGTAAGGCAAATCTCGCATCATATTTTTTTTCTTCTAGTTAGTGTGCATCCCGAGATAAATATCCATGCAAGTTTGGTTTAATTAGGACTTAAAATTACTTGGAAATGGACTAGCTGCAGAACTGTAGCTCTCTGCTTGAGAAAATGCGGACAGACAAAGCAGAGAGCTACAGATCCAAGTGTTGTAAAAACCTTCGATTTACGCCGCTGCTTTTTTGTCGCTCGCTTTGACTATTCGTCAGGAATAGGAGTAAAATATATGGATAATTATTGGATACCACTTTTAAAGCAGGGGAAAGCAATAAATACAAGAAATAATAGCTGAAGCGAGCGACAAAAAAGCGGCGGCGTAAATCGAAGGTTTTTACAACGCTTGGATCTGTAGCTCTCTGCTTTGTCTGTCCGAATTTTCTCAAGCAGAGAGCTACAGTTTTGCAGCTAGAAATGGACCTGCTTCAAAACATTTAACCTATTCACTTATCAAGAAAATGTCTGGAAGTGTCCATCCTAAGGTTCATCATCCATGCAATTTTAATCATAACAGGCCATATAATTACAGAGCTAGTCCAAAAACATTATCCTGGTCACTCATCTGGAAAATGTATGTCAAACTCAGCATCCGAAGTTGGTCTGGAAGTGTCCATCCGTAGATGCATCTTACATGCTAATTTGGTTAAAGTATGGCTAAAATTCACTCAACTGGAATATAAAGGTCAGATCCAGCATCCAAAGCAGATTGGGTAGTGTCCATCCCTAGATGCATCATCCATGCAATTTTGATCTGGGTAGGGTTTATAGTTACTTGGTAATGGACCTGCTCCAAAAACATAAACCTGGTCACTCATCTGGAAAATGTAAGTCAGATCCAGCATCCAAAGTAAGTTTAGAAGTGTCCATCCCTAGATGCATCATCCATGCAAGTTTAGTCCAGATAGGGCCTATAGTTACTTTTTTACGATGTCACAGACTTGTTGGATGTGTAGGGAAATAGAGGAATGGACCAATCTATTTCATGATTTGTAAATGTTTATAAGAACATTTATAAACATTGAAAATTTTTTATATTTTCATATAAGATACTGAAGTAAAACAAATTGTTAAAAATTTATACAAGTACTGGTGATTTAAATAACGTTATTAGACTATGACGTCGTTAAACTGAGTCATGTGACCATGAGTCCTTCATCCCCTTTAGCTAACCCTATTAATCCTTCATATGTAATGAAATACAACAGGGGAGTCAATATACTGACCAGTGGGTCCTCGTTCTCTGTAAGAGGCATACACAATTTTGAGGTTGTCCATCGGTCTAAGCGTCCCTCTGTAGCGTATGTAGAAACCCTTGTATGTGTCATTAAAGCTTGGGTATGCCCTGTTGGGAAATACTTTGTCCTTAAGCTGGCTAATAGATGTCAATCCATCTCGAATCTCCACTTCCTGTTTAGCATAACTGACTGTAATAGATAAATATTCTGTAAATAACTTCAAATGACAATGTAGTAAGACTTGATGTGTATTCCAAACCTTTTTTCTTATTACAATGAAAATTTTTAAACTAAGCCATAATGTGGTCTTATTTGGCATATTTCTATCAATGATAAGTAGTTGTGTCTTGATTAGACAAGTTTTACTGCTATATCATTATGTCATTCATATATATATCTTGATGAAAAATATGTCTCAAATTAAATGCATCCATTAAAAGCATGTTTGGTATATTTAAACATTTAACTGACTATTCTTTTTAAAACCTTCCCTTGTAATGGATACTGTTATTTGAACAACCTAGAATACATTGTTCTTAAAAAATCTGAATACCATTTTTGGTTTTAAATGATCATACTAAAGAAGTAAAAAATGTTAATAGTTAACAAATGCCCTTGATCAGAAAATTTCACTTGAACCTTTTGCTCAGGTGAATTCAAATGCATTCTTATTTTGAATTCCAGCAAATCAATCTGTTTCTGTGTCTAACTTACTCAGTGTGTCAGTACGAAAGCTGATAATTTTCATGTACATCCTGTCAAAATCCGGCTGTTTTTTTATGACCCAGACACAGTCATATTCAACATCTTTAATGCTGTTTATCATCTGGAAATCTATAATTCCTCCTTGTCCAAGCAAATCATACTTTCCACAGTCTGAAATTTCAAACAGTTAAACTTTTATGTCTAAGGGTAGACTTTCATACAGGTGTGTGGTGTTTGCCTTTACCAAATTATTTTTTTCAAAAATCTACTGATTTTTTTTTCTCTAAAATGAAGTTATAAGAATAGATCAAATTCAAACCAAATCAATAAATTATCAGTAGTTATGGACCATAGTCCATACAACCTTAATAAATGAAAAAATGAAAATATTTAACGTGAAAAGTATAAAAATTATCCTGCATAACAATTCATAAATTATAAATACAAATAAATCCTATCTAAAGTTACACTTTAAGGAGTATTGGAATTATTAACTGTCAAAGATTCTGAAGCTTTTAAGTATAAGAGTATTAGATATAGTGAATAAAATCCTTACTTGATCTTGGGACAGTGATAGAATCTCCATCTAAAAATAAATTTTTTTCTGTTTAAAACTAATCGTGACATCCTACTGAATCACATGGAAACACATATATACAGAATAATTCCAATTAAATGGAACAAAGAACATTAATACTTGTAAATAATAAACAATAATAAATATTAATACATTTAGCAACTATAGGTGAAATTTTTTTATAGACAGTAAAACTTGGCTTATCCGGAAACCACAGGTTCCATAGAAATTTGCTGAATAAGACAACATTCCAGATTAGACATTTCAAACAACTGAAGTTACTGAAAGGACTGACAGTTTTCATCATAATAGGCAAGTTTTCGAATTACATGTACACAACATTCAGATAACACAAGTTTTACTGTATTTTCTTTGACCTTGTTTTTTTTTTCTTGAGTGAAATGATAGTATTAAAGGGTAATATTTTACCTCTGTAAAAAGTGTAAGTAAATCTGAATCCTAGATATCTGTTTTGGTCCTCGAGCAGATGATGGCCTGTGTTAAAAATGATCTTCATTTCTGGGCCCTTTGACAGAACTGCCGAGCGATCCGAACTACCATCCACAGGCAATCTTCTGAGGCTATTGTCAAACTGGAAAGAAGGACATTTAAAAGGTCACTTTGCATCATTCATCTAATTTTTTTCAAAATACAAATATGAACTACAGTAATACAGTTGAATTTCCATATCTCAAACACCATTATCTGGAATACCATGGATAAGTCTCAGTGAGATGGAATTCCAAACCACTTCTTCTATATGTATTTTTTCCTTGATATGTCTAATCTTCTAAGATATCTCTCTTTCTTTTTTCCGTCCCATAGAGTTCATGATAATAAGGTTTGACTGTATTTTAAATTAAATGCTGATCAAAAAGACCTTAAAAGTAATTTTATTCTTTCTGAAAATATAGGAAAATCTTAACTTACAAACACTTCACTGTATGGTGATATATGCCAGTCATCAAATATCACAAGGATTCTGGAATATTCTGGATTTCTAATGATCCAGGTATACTGGTCCCCATTCTGGATGTAACCACTTGGAAAGTTAGGAGAGCGTATGTCTCCAGTCCTGGTTGACAAAATCTCACTATTGGCTATAAAAGAATTTTTCAAAATATTTAAACAAATTCTGCTGCCAAATGTCATCCATATCTTGGGAATTTGGTTTTATGCAACTTGAAATTCATTGGTTCTTCAAGTATTGATACCTACCATTAACATTGAACTGTAAGGATATATTGGGTGGGGTTTGTTGAGAACAAAGTCCCACAAATACTGCACTGGAAACAGACTTAAACTGGCCACCAGGCCATCCACTGTGTTCATAAAACTTAACAGAATCATTCAGATAGGAACTGTCGAACACAAACAGGTAGGAACAGCTGTAAGACAAGACAAAACCTGGTACAGTAATACTTATAGTGAAGTGCCAGGGACCAATGATTTGGATTTAAAATATATTTTATTCAAATCAATGAAATGGATTGAACAGCAGGCATAAATGTCTATGGTCGTCCTCTCCATATTGGTCAAGGCACAATCACTTACATTGTAGTGATCACCTTGACCAATGATTTTGCTTCTTTATAAACATAATTCATAATAAGTTCATAATATGTTTTTAAGGCTAAAGGGAATGAAAATCACCTTTCTATAAGGCAGCATGAATTCATAATAAGCATGTTTATTGTAACCATGTTTTATTGTGTTAATATCTGGGTATGACGACTAGGGCACAGTTAAGTAAGACAATTGATCATGATGTACGCAAGTTACAATTCCATTGTTTGAAAACAAATTTGTTACCCCCAAATGAATTTACTGGTACTTATTTTTACTTCTTAACTATTCCTCTTGAAGGAGAAAAGGCCCTTTGTTTGAAAATCAGTTATATATTTAAAATCTGTGTTGTTTTGTATTCAAAGTTGGTTCATTAGTTGTCAAGAGAGAATTCATACAAGACTAGAATAAAACTCTCACTTTCTAGATTATCTGCATCTGATAATCATATTCTCCGAGCAGCCTTACGTTGTAACCAGTCAACACATATTTAAATATGCATTTCCACTTTGTGTTACATTGGTTTTCACAAAGGGTTAGATGAACTTAGACACCCATAGTTTTATAGGCTACATTCATGATGAATATTAAGACCGTACGTTGAAGTTACAACTTTACATGAAAGTGTTGACATGGAATGGGTTGATACTACCATTGTTCATATAAGGGAACCTGCATTTAAGGTTCATCAATCCCCTGTTCACTCATACAAGATGTTGCTTTAACACTTACGATTTTTTAAAAGAAGTATATTCTATATGTTGAATGCAAACAATTTTAGCATAGCTTGCAAGGCAAAATTTGTCAAAAATGACATTTCAACTTGACAAAGAATGGAGGTGTACAAGACGAGAACAATCCCCGGTCTGAAAAAGACATTTCTTGAAAATTGAAACTGGTCATCAATATTACAACATGAAAAACACTCTCCAGCTATGGCACACTTTTATAACCAACATATGGTGACTATTCTTGTGCAAATTTACATTGATCTGTTTTAAATAACCATGATAAACACCCTTGATTTCTTTTTTGCTAGATTTTAACAATAAATAAGGCTGAACTATAAATCTCTACTTAACAAAATACTCACTCTGGTGTACACTCTTTCAGTGAGTGGGGGGCCGAGGTGGAGCAAGTGAAGGACCATTTATTAATAGTATGTATTGAGATGTGGCAGTTGGAGCACCCTTTAATGCGTAAAAGACAAGGACCATTTTCAGTGGGCCCAGTTCCACTTGTCACTCCCACAATGCCTTGCTCTTGAGGAAATGGCAAAGTTATGTAGTTTGTTTTGCAAATATCTATGAGTCCTAAAAAACATGAAAATTGAATCATAAATTAAAAAAAAAAAAACGTTTTGCAAATACATTTAAAAATAAGATTTTCCTCAAAATATTTGTTACTAACATCATTATGTAGGATATAGATATCAGTTTTTTATTGCATAATAATTTTTACTTATTTTAAAAACCTTATATTTATCAAAGTAAGTTTCTTGGTATTTTTTTCTCTTCCACACATACATGTATTTATCAATTTACCTTGAGCGTGAGATGTACATATTGTGATGAATAAAAAACCTGTAAAACAAAAGCAAATAAGCTTTAAATTTTTAGTCCAAAACAAATAGTTTTAGTGTGTAACAAAATTTAAATTCTAATGATCGAAAAAAATGTATCTATAAAAAAGGAAATTAAAAATGATGACCATTTCTTTTTAATCTTTTTAAAAGAGGTATCAACTTGTGGCAGCTTTTATCTCCTTTGGAGTGCTATAATTTCTGAGGCAGCCCATAGGAAATAAATTCACCCTCTCAATATAAAAGGTGAATTTTATGCTCTTTCACCATAAAATTTAATGCATATGAAGTTTTCACCTTGAATGATTATCTTGTAACAAATAAAGTTATCAATATATCATTACTTTTGCAGATAAGTCAAGATAAGTAAAGAGCAAACAAAAAACAAAAACAAAACTAAGTTTAAAGATTAGCTTATCAAATATTGCAAACACACATTTAATATGTTGCTTTAATCATGCAACTGCATCTTAAAACCAAAATATCTTAGTAAATACTAAGAGAAACTTTTACCTAGAGATAAGTACTGAGTCCTCATATTGAAGTCTGATTAATCACATCCACTTCGTTTTTGTCTGTAGTAATTCCTGTTTCATCTACATATTAAATAAAAGAAAAAAAAACATGTCTGCATTATCAAGTCTCTTCTTCAAACTAAATCTTCAGGATGTTTACACAACAGAAGATTTAAAGCCCTTTGTTTGTCCAGACCTAGAGGATCATTGCTTAAAAGCATGAATTTATGACACATGTGTGCAAAGAATAATACATGTATTTAGCAATAATTTGGATATGCATAATACACACTGTTCCAGTTTAATTAATGTACAAGAAATGCTGACTGATTTCTGGTTCAATGTTATCTGACCACTGAAGCATAGAGTCTGGAGATGCTATCACTAAAGTCACTTTTCGATTACCATTGAAAAGTATATATATGATCAAATCAAAAGCTCAACATTTTTCTCAGGTTTTCTTTATGTAAACTTAATAGACAGCCATGCCTCAAGGTAAGAAAAGATGAGTACATTTTCTGTCTGAATTAATTACTATGAAAGTTAAAATGGACAGAGATGACTGACAATAACATATTACTTTGTTTTCAAATTAAAAAAAAAAAACTGTTTTGCAGATATATATACATTTTCAACAGTGACATTGTTATTTATCCATTAATGATATTTTCACAGAGTAAATATAAATTTATAACAAAAATACTTCACTTTTCCAATTCCCTTCATGAGGAGTGTAAAAGAAGATACTCCCTATAAATAGCTAGAGTGAACCAAAAAATCAAACATTTGCTGACCAAAAATGGCCAAATTATCTCCAAAATGTTGTTTAAATCCATTGTTTTCAACTTTTAATCTTACAACCGCTTAGCTTAGACATATTTCACAACAGTTAAGCTATGACATCTCAGCCTACACCACTATGAACAACTAAAAGCAAAAGGAGCAAAAGGACCCCTTTCCTAATGTACTAAACAGAAAGCCAAATTGTTTTCTACCTGTAGTTGAATATGGAATTTATTTTACTTCTAAGTAGACACATATGTCTCTGTTCTAAGACAGGTTTTTTTTTTTAATAATTTTACCCATGCTTCACACTCATGAAAATATATATATATATATATATATAATAATCCAGTCCATGAAATAAATTCCATATCCAACAACAGCTAGAACATTGAAAATAATCTCATTATTCCATTAAAAAAAATAGAACTCTCAAAATAATAAAATTTATCATCCTAATGATAAAGTATAAAAAATTAAAAAAAAAAATACATTTGAGCGATTCTAATTAAAAAAGAAAAGGAAAAAAGAACATTTTTTCTTATGGATTACAGATATTTCTTCCTTGGCAGTTCACAAAGAAGACCCAAATGAAAATGTTTAATAAATCTAAATGTTTAACCTCAAAAGAAATTCTCTTAATTTTTTTCTTCTATTTATATAAAATTTAATTCTTTTAGTTTTATTAATTAATACAGAATATTAATGCTAAAAAATGAGAATATGCTTTGATTTAGTTCAAGATCTTATAATTAAAGTACATGTACCTTACCACATTCATGGAATCATGTTTAGTATTTTTACATCATGCAATCTAGAGGAGAGGGGGCGGGGTCCGGAGTTATTAAAAGTACATAGACTAGTAATGTTACTAAAAAAATGACCTTGGAAAAATTTCTGGATTGGGCTAATGTTCATGTTTTTGTTAAAACTATCACTAGCAAAACTTTTATATATAAAAAAATCTTTCATGCATGTAATTTTAGTTTGCCTGGCAAATTTCTTTCTGAGTCCTCTTCAGTTATTAATCATGTGGGCAAGTGAAATTTTAATCTGACAGTGTACATTTCATATTCAGTACACTCAGTATAACTGACTGTTACAATTGGCAATCGATTATATTTTCCAATATAAGTTATTTGATATGTCAAGAAGTGCATACCATTTTTTCAATTTCTGTCTCACACACAAACACCCATATATACAGTATTTTTACATACTGAAAGTACATGTTATTAATACATGCTTGTTTATTACATATTCACAATACACATGCTGCAATCGATCACAATATATACTATTCTATACTTCCACATATACAAGTACATGTATATGAAATGTGCTGTATGTTTATTTAATTTCTGCAGCCATATACTTTAGTAATGAATTCCGTGATGTGAACGGGAAGTGAAATAGACAACACGTTTATTTGATTGCATAAACAGGTGCGAAATTCAGAACCTTCTTCTAGCGGCGACATTATATGAATTATGAATTTCTAATGCAGATTCATGTTTTCAAGGTATGGATTATGGTGAACTAACCTTAGAAACAAATAAATATTTCTTCTATATATCCATCTACAGCTCAACAGCACAGGTGACATTTCTGTTTGCTCTTCATGCGCAAGTCATTCTATAACCGGAAGCTAGTGAGCAGGTGCGAGAATCAAGAGTTGTCTGCTCCTTATTCTCTCTCTCTCTCTCTCTCTCTCTCTCTCTCTCATTTTACAACAATCATCGTCACAAGCCACATGATTTGTGCCCATTCTATTCCATAAACATGCTGCTTGATGATATAAAGAATTTGATTTTTTTTTAATTTATCAGCTACAGTGTATCACTTTGGACTGACAAACAATTAAGCCAATAAATAAATAAATAAATAAATAAATAAATAATTTTTTAAAAACAATTAATAAATGTAGTGAGTTGTGAAAGTTGAATAGATGAAAAATGTGACAATACTGTTAGTTTATAAACTGTGTGAACCTTTCTTTGTACGAATTGATCATGGCCGTAGGAACGGGGGGGGGGGGCACAGGGGGCGTGCCCCCCCAATAATATTGCCGATATATAGATTACTATAGAAAACAGAGCTACTATATGCTTGTGCCCCCTCAATGAAAACATCTGATGACCTTTTTTTTTTTTTTTTTTTGCTTGTCAAGGACATTTTGGTTGAAAGCGCCCCCTCTGCTGAAAATGTATGGCTGTGCCCCCCCCCCCCAACTGAAATTGCTTCCTACGGGCCTGTTGATATCATACGGTACGGGGGGGGGGTACCGGAAAAAATGTTCTGCCATAAAATAAGAGAGGAATATACCCCCAGTTCCAACCCCAAAATTTAAAAGTTTGATTTTCCTGAAATAGTTTATTTGATTTCCTTCTTCGGTCTTTTCTTTCTTTCATGGATATGAACGATATACATGTATTGTGTTGTCATTTGTAATGTTTAGAGAAAAGTGTAATAACAAGTACTAAGGCTGTGTACTATGGAATTCCAAATACGACAGCCAACTGCTTACTGCCAACTGCTCACTGCTTACTGCCAACTGCTCACTGCTTACTGCCAACTGCCACACATATTTGAATAAATTTTCATATTTATATTGATATTTATGTGAATTTTCATAAAACCAGTCGCGGGTCCAGGATTTTTTTTACAGGAGGGGCCCACCCAAGTAAAAAAAAAATCCAACAAAGAAATTTCTTGACAAAAAAAGAACAAAAACAAAAAAAAAACGTAAACTCCTCTTCTAAACGTGAAAAACCTATTTCGGCGGGGGGTGGGGGGGGGGAAAGGGAGGGGGATTGACATCTTATGCTTCATATCTATGACTTTTCATATCAACTTAACACGGATCCGCGTTTTCTAGGGGTGGGTAGGTTTCCAAGGTCACTTTTAGTTGTTTTAGTATAGGTCTATACATTAAATAACTCTACAAATTCCAGGGGGTGGTCTGGAACCCCCCTTCCCAACGACCCCCCCCCCCCTCTAGATCTATGTATGTAAAACATAACTTATTTGGGAAAACAAAGAGATATTAATCTTTAATTTGAAAAAATATTTCACTATAGAAATTAACGGAAAATGGAAATTTATTTTCAAAACATCTTCCCCCGCGAAACAACAGTTCCTTTTTTTCAGTTTTTATTTATTCCAAAGGTTTTGTTGTTTCACGGGGGGGGGGGGGGGGGAGGGGGGAGACACGTGTTAAAGATTAAATTAAAAACGGGCAAATAGTCATTTTATTACCAATTTTAAATGAGACCACAAATAAAAAATGTACTTTATCACTTTATCAATCTCATATGTTAAATTTTACATAAGTTAAAACATACGGTGAGATTCAAGAGTCATTTATCCCTTATCATTTTCATGAGTATTTGAAAATGGTGACGTTTTCAGCCTGATTTCAATTAATAAAATTTTCTACCCCCTTATGAAAGGAGTTGTAAATAAGAACAATTAACTTTTTGTCACTGGTTTTTAAAATTAGTACTTAATACTAATGAACTTTTCTTTGCATTCAAACAAGTTTTTATGTCCAAATTGCCATTTATATTGAATTAAATGGATGGAAAATGTAGGCGGGAATCGAGAGTTGGTGTGCATAGTTCTTACAATAATAACAAAATTTGGCGGATTTAGGAATTTTTAAACTGTAAAGGCGAGGAAGGAGTAAATCGGAAGAAGGGGTGTTTCCTCTTAAAAACAAAACATTTAATTTCTGCATTTCGTTGCAGGCAAATAATTTGATACCTTTTTTTTTTATTGACGCGGGTAAGGGGGAGGGGGGTCACATACGACAAAAGAACAAACTTTTAAAAGGGTCTTGAGTAACATTTGTTGGTATATGTATTTATAATAGAAATATTACTGAAAGTTATAATAACAAATAACTTTTGCCTAGTTTAAAATATCGAGTAATATCTTTCGGATTTTCTTTTTACCCTAGAAAAAGTACCTATTATGGGAATTTTTATATGTGTCTTATGTAAATCGTTTTAATGGCTAATGTTCGATCTGTTAGATCTGTAAAAAACATTCGTGGTGGTGGTGGTTGTAGGGAGGGGGGGGGGGGCGTAACCACTAAATTTCCAACATATACTATATACAGTAGTTCTCCCTTACGGAAGCGTATTAGTGCCACGTAATGTTTTTTTTAAAGTTGGTAATTCCAACTTTAAAGTTGGAAAAGCCAAGATTTAAGCACCGCCTTCAAAAATACCTGGTCTGTGTAACCCTGTCAATCAAGTGCATTAAGGTACATCATTGGATGCTAGAACTTGATTGACATTTACTTACTAGTCCCTGTGTATACCCTGTACAACTTGTTTGGCACTCGTGGTGACCTTCAAATTAACTTTTGATCCTTTGATATTTACCACACATGGTACAATAGAGAAGCTGTATTACTATGGAATTTTTAGCTTGATAATATATATACAAACACCTTATTTGAAATGATTATGATATTCTTTATGATAATACTAGTATATATCAAAATTTGGTATAACTTTTATTGAAAGATCAACAAATACTTTGAATAATAATATTTTTTTTAATGGGTGGGGAGTCTTTGACAAACATTAATGAAAATTATTGAGATTAACCTTTATTTACTACTTTTTATTTCTAATTTAAAATCATCTAAAAATCCCAACACAGGTAAAGTTTGACTTCTTGGGTATATTTTACTGTGTATTAAATCACTTCCTGTGTATAGGGATTAGGAGACAAACAACCACAGGTAGACTGCTTGCCCTCAGGGCATTCACACCTGTACAAAACAAGCCCCTCCCTCACCTGGAATTTACCACCCGGTAAAAAATCTCTGCCTTTAAAGTTGGAAAAGCCAACTTTAAAGTTGGAAAAGCCAACTTTAAAGTTGGAATTTTCAACTTTAAAGTTGGAATTTCCAATTTTAAAGTTGGAAAAGCCAACTTTAAAGTTGGAATTACCAACTTTAAAAAAAAACATTACGTGGCACTAATACGCTTCCGTAAGGGAGAACTAATGTATATAGTATATGTTGGAAATTTAGTGTTTACGCCCCCCCCCCAACCACCACCACCACGAATGTTTTTTACAGATCTAACAGGTCGAACATTAGCCATTAAGACACATATAAAAATTCCCACACATAGGTACTTTTCCTAGGGTAAAAAGAAAATCCAAAAGTTATTACTCGATGTTTTAAACTAGGCAAAAGTTATTTGTTATTATAACTTTCAGTAATATTTCTATTATAAATACATATACCAACAAATGTTACTCAAGACCCTTTTAAAAGTTTGTTCTTTTGTCGTATGTGACCCCCCCCCCCTTACCCGCGTCAAAAATTTGCCTGCAACAAAATGCAGAAATTAAATGTTTTGTTTTTAAGAGGAAACACCCCTTCTTCCGATTTACTCCTTCCTCGCACTTACAGTTTAAAAATTCCTAAATCCGCCAAATTTTGTTATTATTGTAAGAACTACGCACACCAACTCTCGATTCCCGCCTTCATGAAAATGAAAATGGATAAATGACTTAAATCTCACCGTATGTTTTAACATTTGTAAGATTTAACATATGAGATTGATAAAGTGATAAAGTACATTTTTTATTTGTTATCTCATTTGAAATTGGTAATAAAATGACTATTTTCCTGTTTTTAATCTTCAAAAACACGTGCCCCCCCCCCCCCCCCGTGAGACAACAAAACCTTTGGAATGAATAAAAACTGAAAAAAGGGATCTGTTGTTTCGCGGGGAAGATGTTTTGAAAATAAATTTCCATTTTCCGTTAATTTCTATAGTGAAATATTTTCTCAAATTAAAGATCTATATCTCTTTGTCTTTGTTTTCCCAAATAAGTTATGTTTTACATACACGGATCTAGAGGGGGGGGGGTCCGGACCACCCCCTGGAATTTGTAGAGTTATTAAATGTATATACTAAACCAACTAAAAGCCACGGTGACCTTGGACCCCCCCCCCCTCCTAGAAAACGTGGATCCGTGTTAAGTTGATATGAAAAGTCATAGATATGAAGCATAAGATGTCAACCCCTCCCCTTCCCCCGCCGAAATAGGTTTTTTACGTTTTTGTTTGTTTGTTTTGTTTTGTTTTGTTTTTTTTGTCAAGAAATTTCTTTGTTGGATTTTTTTTATTGGGGTGAACCCCTCCTGTAAAAAAAATCCTGGATCCGCGCCTGGTTTTATGAAAATTCACATAAATATCAATATAAATATGAAAATTTATTCAAATATGTGTGGCAGTTGGCAGTAAGCAGTGAGCAGTTGGCAGTAAGCAGTGAGCAGTTGGCAGTAAGCAGTTGGCTGTCGTATATGGAATTCCATAGTGTACATAGATTTTTTTTTTTTTTTTTTTTTTTTTTTTTACGTGGCTTGATTTTTTTTTAATCAAAATCTGAAAGTTAAATGAACAAATACGTATGTGGCTTGTTCAAAAAATTAGAAGCAAAAACAAATTATTCCATCTTATAAATATATTCTTTAGCACCTTATTTGGTCTCGAATTAACAATATCTAAGGGATCTATACGAATTATATACAGTCCAGTACAATAATGTACCACATTACATGCTTGATCAGTGTTGCAGACATGTATATACAAAGAGAAGGTATATCCTTCCTCAAGCGATATTAATCCACATAAGGAAAAATCTCACTGAATGGAGATTTTTTTCTAAAGTAGATCTATATTTTTTTTTAGGAAGTTTGATATAGTTTTCTATTTTCTTTAAATAGATTCAACAGTCTATATAGTTGCACCATTTTATTAAATATCCGACTTTTATATCACGTGTCCCAGTACAGACAAGCTATCGCAAAAATCGATTTGATTATAGAGTGTAACAGCTGGCTTAAAACAAGGAGCAATGATGGACTTTTCCACGATGATTTAGAATAATGCACATACTTATCCACCATTGGACAAACACGTCGTGTTTTTAGTAGACTTTTGTAATATTTTTGTTCATACATGATGTTTTCAGTATTTTGGAGTATACTTTTCTTCTGCGTTTCTATAGTACACTCTGTCCACAAAGATGAAGGTAAGATATCATCTCTTTTTAACTTAACAGGGCATTCACTTGTGAGATTTTGTAACGCGAATGTATGCAACGGGAAGACATGATGGTATAAAATGTTCATCTGCATGAACTACTAGTATCTACTCTGCTATAGTTATTTTAAAACAAGTCTATTTTTATCTCCTCTTCTCGTTAATACTAAATCTAGTATATACTGAATACGTGACGGGTGTATTTAAAGTTTAGGTGGATCCGTTTTGGTTTGTTCCTTTAATTTAAGGACACTCAGAAAAGGGTAATAGGACATGTTTGACGTGGTTATGCTATTATACACTTTTTCAATGGGGTTTGGAAGTCTTTTCTAAACCTTCTCTCTTCGCATGTAGTCATCCGGCCTGTAAAGCGTTGTAGAAAAAGAAATCGGGGGTTTAAGAAGATCGTTTGACTTTCAATGACTAGTTTGTCTTTCTCAGTCACATTGAACTAAGATTTAACAAAGCGCATTGTTGAAATAAATCCCTTGCATGTAGAAAGTAACCATTCAAGGAGGAGATGTTAAAACACTCGGCATATCCCTCGGCATAACACTCGGTCACACGTTCTTTTAAACTGATTAAAATCAATATTCAATTGACACTGAGTATACTAAAAATTATTTATTGAGTCAAATACTCGACAGTTGAAGGTTGATTGATCAATGAAAACAATAAGAACACGACCTGATGAAGGATATCTGCAGGGATAACTTTTTTTTTAAAACTTAAGAAGATCGATTTGATCGATAACAGATGTTGCCTTCATGTATGAATGTTGTCTTTTTCATTAATTTAAGTAGAAAAACATTCCGTAATTTTTTTTTATTTTATCACCAGTTGCTGAAAATATCGATGAAAATGATGTTAATATGCAGCTCTACATGCCGTTAATTTAAAATTGAAAAAGAATAATTTATATATATGACGGGTTTTGAAGAGTGTCTAGATGACTTGATCTAAATTATTTAATTTTTTTCTAAATGAATATAATATAAAGTTATTTGTTAGAGAGAATGCAACTCAGATGCATAATTTTTAGTTCTAGATCGCTTTAATGGGAACATCGGGGTTCATTACTCATATAAAATGGCGCTGTAAGTATAAAGGTCGCTGTCATTACACATGCTCCTGGGCATGACACAGTCTATTACTAATAACGTGAAAGATGTTATCAAAATCTGTTACCAGAACGAAAACTGTTACTAATTGGTATTTGTAGACATTTGAGATTAAACATAGAATCAATCTTTCACCCCCACTCCCTCCCCACCCTTCCTTCCTTCTTTTTTAACATGGTCGTAGGAACCGGGAGCACGGGGGGTGGGGAGCGTACCCCCCCGGTGCCCCCTCAGTAATAACGTCTGATGAGCCTTTTTTTATTTTACTTGTCAAGGAATTTTCGCTTGATAGTGCCCCCAACTGAAAAATGTTTGGTTCCCCCTCCCAACTGAAATCGCTTCCTATATGGGCCTGTTTAATGCGAATCAAAGTATTTAAGAGATATTTAAAACGGAAAAAAAATATTTTGGTTCATTCCTCATTGTTTTATAAATTGTATAACAATCTTCATTGGACTTGCATCTCAGGCTTTACTGGGATGGGGGTTGGGAGTGCAAGTAAGTAAACTATCGATGGTGATAGAATACTACTAATTTATCAGACCAGCATAGAATTAAAACCAGACTGGAATTCCTATTCAATCTACCCATCAACCCTAACCCACCCCCTCCCTACACTCATATCCTAACAAGTTCAATATTTCGCATCATGGTTAATAATAGCTGCAAAAAAGTTAATTGGGCGGGGGGGGGGGGTACATATAAAATCGGAGAGGGCTGCATGACAGCTAAAGATAAATAAATTTCGTTTAAAATGTGTTAAAAGATGAATTTGATATCGATATCCAAAGGTTGATGCAGTCAAACAAGATATAAATAAATAAATAGTTTATATTACACTTGGAAGGTTAGGATATTGTATGACAAGACTAAAAACCGCACCAACCTTAGCAATAGAATTTATCTCTAAATATGGTAAAAAGTATCACATTTAAATTGTAAAGATCTGCGCCTAAACACGTTTCTTTTTCTGTAGCACAATGTCATCCAGAAGAGGTCCACATTACTTTTGGCGACAAAGTATCAGATGTCGTGGTCATGTGGTCAACAGTTGGTAATTGTTCCACTTCGTTAGAATATGGTCCCGGACCGTGGGGATTATCACATACAGCCAGTGGGGATACCAAACTGTTTACAGAAACAAACCCCAACGGAAAACATTTCCTCCACAGGGTTGAGGTTAAGGTAGGTGATGTAGGTGTTTATATATGGACCTTACAATTTTGCGGGATCCGTGAAATTTTCATCAATATAATCATTCTAGTGTCCTTTCTGACATATTTTATTTCTTAAATAAAATCTGCAACATGACGACATGTTGCAGATTTTATTTAAGAAATATAATATGTCAGAAAGGACACTAGTAGATGTAGATGATGAGATAGTGTTCAAAAATGTGATGAGATATGTTCAGAATCTCTGCTATACTCTAACACAGGACCTGGGTAGTTCCACGACATATTTCTACAGACCTATTAGTAACGGGATAAGCAGCGGACCATTTTACTTCAAGACGCCACCGTCGGGATATGTAAGTGTATTTTGATTTGTTTGAAAAGTTATCAATGAGTAGCATACAGTGCTATTTCAATTCTGAACAACTAGTATAAAAAATGTCTAAGAATGAAAAATCTGTAAAGCAATTTTCTCAGTTTTCATATTCACAAAAGAAAGGGTTCGTCAAAAGCTTGTAGAAAACTCCCCAGAAAACTCCTCAAAATATAGAGTTTTTTTCAGGACTGGAGTCCGGAGTTTTTGGTATATGGTGATTTGGGCGTGGAGTCTGATGCGATTCCCGCTTTGGAAACAGAGGCTTTATCAGGGAAATATACGTCAATTTTTCATGTTGGCGACTTTGCATACAATATGGAGGACGATGGAGGAAAAGTTAGCTTCTCTCTCTCTCTCGCTTTTTCATAAATATCAGACTTCATGGCTACTTTAGCATTTTTATAACTAATTTGAAAGCTATGCTTCCAGTTTAATTTGGTAAGGTTTTTTTTAATATATATTTAGCTTAATTTAAAGTTACTTTTCCGCTGTAATTTTGGACAAAGACTTTAATTGACGAAATTAATGTGGATTGATCTTGCATTTTCCCCATCAAAAAGAAATTGAATAATGATTTAAAATAGTTTAAGTACTATGTGGGACATGGAAACACTTCAATTCAAGCTTCTCTTAACTGCACTTCTATAATATTGTTACTTGAAATAAACTTGCTGGTATTCCTGAATACTTTGTGAAATTCATAAACCTTATACCTTGTCAACTCATATTTTCATACGCATTCAACTTATAATCTCTTTTTTCATCCCCATTTTCCATCTTGATTTAGCAAGTAAATGACACGCACAAAAATAACTCTTCCGTGGATTTGTGCGAAAATAAGGTGAGAACAGACTTAATCATTTACTAGTGCGCATGTTCTACGGCGTAGAAATATTGGTTGCATGTGGCGCGGAACTGGGATGAAAATTTATATGTACATGAACTTCATATATGTATTATGTCTGCAAATAGAGAGATATTAGATAAACTTTGCATGTGTTTGTTGTTGAAATTTGATAGTTTATTAACAAAACAGAGACTCTGTAATTTCGCAAAGAAATGATCAATTATATAGATTTGACTTTATGTAAACGAAATAATTTCTTATACTGCCAAGAATTTTTTTTAACACTCCCATATTTCGTGTAATTCAAAAAATCAAGTTTTGAGAGTGTAAAACTCCCACCCTCCCAAAGAGAGTCCTAAATCACTAAGATAAAATTTATGAAATACTATTATCAAAAAATTTTATTTACAGAGAGGAGACACGTTTTTACGCTTAATAGAAGATTTTTCTTCAAGGGTGCAGTATCTGACTTCTCCTGGGAATCATGGTAAATATTGTTTACTTGCCTAATTAACCCACTGGCGAATTTAGAGGGGGCACCCCCCCCCCTTTTTGTGACCAAAACTATACATGAGATTAATAAATCAATTCTTTGGTGTGGGATATTGCATTAAGTATACCTTAAAATATATAACGAAAATAAGTTCATAAAAAAACTGTTCCCAAAAAACTAAAACCTGAGAGTTTTCGGGGCCCGCACCCCGACCCCCAACTGGTTGGGTCCCCTTTTTCAAGAATCCTGGATCTCCATTGTAACCATGCAAAAAATGGAGCTACTTATATATGAAAATACATAGACTGACATAACAAAAAATGTTGATTGCTATGTTATATGCTTTGATTTTTTACAGAAATCGACCAAGGTAGTTTCGCTCATTACCGGTATCGTTTTTCTACACCTGGTACATCCTGGCCCATCCCACTGAACAAAATGTGGTACAGCATAGACATAGGACTCGTGCACTTTATCAGGTATTTCAAAATATTTCAGAATCAGAGGGAGTTTTTCAACTGTTTTCATTTAATTTCTTATGGATTGTGAATGTTACTAACCTCGGATTAATTTCAACGTCCCTTCTCTGGAAACTGATCATCTCGGTTATTAGTTCTAGATTCCCTAATATGTCTTTTGTATATTTGATGCCAAGTATCGTAAAAAAAATCTTCATTCTTAGTTCTACTGGTCAAAGACTCTGTGATGGTATTTTAAAGTGACCGTCGTTCAAGCTGTTTGTTTGTCTGTCTGCCTGTAAACAAACTCTCAGAACGCTACCCCTCCTACAACCTTGGTCTAAATTCAGTAAGACTTCGTACACAAGGAATCTGCACCAAGATACTTTTTTATGTGTTACTGTATCGGATTTGGATTTCGACCAAAAATAATTACACTGAATTAAAACAGAAAACTGTATGAAATTCTTAATAAATTATAAACATTTGTGTGAGATGTTTTCAAAATGTTTTAATCCCTCCTGCAGTTTAAGTCTGATTTCAATACTTGGTACAGAAGTAGACTACAATGAGATATCGGATTTTGATTTTTGATGAACGCCGGTGTTCCACAGGATACTGAAAAAAGAAATTTATGTGAAATTCTTTCAAAACACTAGTCCTCCATAGATTTTTGTTACGATTAAAAAGGATAAAACAAAAAACCGGTATACAACACGGTATATTATACTTTCATGTAAATTAGTTGAATCTGATTCGTCGAGAAACATTTGTTATAAAACACCATTACCCGCTGAATAATGAAGACACGCCCTCTAGCGTAGCAACAGTCAACATTGCTTGACGACGGGTGTTATTCCAAAAAGATATTGACTGTGCAGAATTGATGCGCGGAAGGTTCACTGTAATATGTATTTGTATAAAACATTCAGTATAATATACTGCGCCTCGGTTGACAATGGTTTTCTTGGGGTGAAAATTGTCAGTGTTACACTAAACTACATGCAGTATTTATATAATACTACACTAAGGTACATGATGATGTATATCGGTTTCTAATTACGATTGACAATTTTGCAATGGTTACTAAAAATAGAATAATGTATGAGAATCTTTCAAACTGCTCCTCCTTTACAGTTTTGGTCAATAAAATTTGGTACATATGTAGACTAAACCAGGGATCACTATTCTATTTATCGTTGTTGGCATGCATAGCTTCTTATTAGTGTGAAGTCCAGGTCCAGGTGCGACTTTTCTTTTTTCACTATTATAATTTTAAGTACTAATCAGTAGAACTACACTCTCTTCAGAGACGCATGGTTTCGGAAAATCAAATCTCAAAAAGAGATTTGAACTTCCTATACATCAAGTTCTCCACTTGAATATGATAATTTCAAGCAATATTTCTTCTCATGCGAACTATCAACAGAAAAAGTCATATTCTTTTACACTCTACTTATCACGAATGGCGATTTACATCTTCCCAACAGCTATTCCACGGAAGTGTTTTTCACGTCTGACGGACGGTACATCGCCGAACAGGAAACATGGCTCAAGGCAGATTTAAAGCAAGCAAACGACAACAGAGCACGTTGTCCCTGGGTCATCGTTCTGGGTCACCGCCCAATGTATTGCTCCAATAGTGATGAGGATGACTGCACAAAGACAGACTCTAAAGTTCGCGCCGGGTAGGCATCTTCTATATTATTCATTCTGTCTAGATCTATAAATGATACTGGTGTAGACTTCCTACTAGTCACCCTTGATATAGCAAAAATGACTAAAGATGAATTCAAAATGTTTATTTAAAAACCTTGCAAAGTTTCAAAATCAATATAAAAACAGCTGCAAATATTCATCTTTTTTGTATCGTTGGGTAAGTTCTTGCTGCAAGGTGCAGATACCCTCACAATCCACTGATCTGGAAATTTAATTACAATTTACCAATTCTAATCATAGAAAAAAGACAAATAAAAATCATAGATTTGAAGACATTTTCTTTAATCATAGATTGGAAGACATTTTCTTCAACTATGGAGTTGACTTAGTTCTACAAGCACACGAGCATTCTTATGAGCGATTGTGGCCGCAGTATAAAGGAGTGGTACTCAGCAAGAACTATACAAATCCCCAGGCACCAGTTCAGCTCATCTCGGGAGCAGCAGGGAGCAAGTATAAGGGAGATAACGAAAAAGCCAATAGAGGTAATCAGTGTCTCTGAAAAATGTAGCAATTCTACCGAGTTCATAACGAATTGTAGAACTTATATCATTGTGTGCAATATAGGCATATCAATTGTCTGCATAGATGTTAGTAATTTCACACCAGGTTTAGATGGTCCTCGTATGTGTCAAATTACTTCCTTGAGAACTTAATGGAGGATCGATGCTGGTGTTACAGGAATATTGCTCATTTACGTATCTGCTAAATCATAAATGTATCCAATAATTACAAGTCTCATTTATATCGTTTTGTTTTCTAGGAGAATGGTCTGCATTTGCAAATACAGATGAATCTCTAAATAGCGTGGGCAAATTGAAAATTATGAATTCAACGCACTTGTATTGGGAACAATACAATTTGTTAACAAAACGTGTGATTGATTCAGTTATAATCGTACAAGATAACCACGGGCCATTCAAACAACAAAAATTATCCAATGATGTCACGCAGAAAATTGAAAAAATTAAGCAAAAGGAGAAAGAGAAGATTGAAAGCTCAAAGATTAATCCGTCTCCACCTAATCGTCATGGAGAATCTGGTAATTCATCAGGAAGCACGAAGTCTTTAGGCACCGGTCAAAAAATAAAGGAAATGTTGACTCACGTTGATAAAAGAATAGCGATTGGGGTTGGTAGCGGAGTTGGTGCTCTTATTTTACTAATTGTGATAATATGTGTTGTAAAAAAGAAGAAAGCTGCTACAGTACGGAAGTACCGAAGATGGGACGATAAAGTTGATTACGGAAGAAAGTTCTACTCTAGTTACAATCACGTGGATTCTGGAGATAAGGAAGCAGACGACTTTGAAGTTGACGTCAGTGATGGTAATCTACCAACTAGTAAACTTTTAACAGACGACCGGAAATGACGTATGTAATACCCACTGGTGTCCTTCAAAAAGCCAAAGTCCAATGTGTGGTCAAAAATAAACAAAAATGCTGGCTCTTGCCATTCTGCCAGTTGTGTGCCAAATTCCATAAAGAACAAATATCAACGAACATACATGGAAAATTATATTTTTCACGATCATTTGTATCATCGTTATGATACAATTGAAAGAAACATAATTATTGCACACTGAAAACAAGTTGTGTCCGAATATATATATACAAGTATCTCTTAATATTTTAAATACGTTAAATTCAAAATGGTATTAAATTTGCAAAAGTTCTTTACTTCAGCGAAGCGTAATGTAAAATTGCACATCGACCCAGATCGGAAATCGATAGATTTGTTGAAAAAATCGTTATTCAGACCCATGTGATCTACATTGCCATGAGTCATAAATGTATCTAGTCATAAGATGAAGAAAAACGTAAATGCAAATATTATTTGTTTACTCTTAAAGATACTCATTTTTAATGTTTCACAGCGAAATTTCTGAATACATAATACTTAGGCCCGGGTACTGGGCAAGCAACATTTCGGGGGGGGGGGGGGCATATTCAGATTTCTAAATATGTTCCCTTGAAAATGTATTAGAGGACGCGGACACATTCAGAGCTATTTGGACCAATATGTAATTTTGTGTATATGTAGTGCTATTTAATAAGTCTCTTGTAGCTATTAGACTTAAATTATTAGTGTAGACACGTGAACTGTCTATCATTATTTCAAAAAGGATAGGTTAACTTTGTTCTTTTTCATCAAAATGCCTTTTCTTCCGAAGATGCATCAAACGTATTCACAGTCGTCAAAGCATTTAAAATCTGTTAGCGGTTGTTGCATATTTGGGGTTGTTGAAGGGGCTGGGACACAGATTTGAAGTTAATATTCTCTAAAATTTTCAGTATATAATATCATGATTTATATGTTGCTAGAGCATTTTACGCAGAAATATAATAGAAGCGTGTTAAGAAACTTCTTTTATCTGCAATTATTAAAACTACGAATTTCGGGACACGTTTGATTGACACATATCCTTTCACTTTCATGAAGTAAACTTTATCCTTAATATATACTTAAAAGTAGAAATTTTGTTGTGCATTAATGAAAAATATTAAAACTATAATCAAGGAATTCAGAGTAGAAGTGTGAGAAAGCAAAACCAACTCACCAGTATTGTCAGTCCGTGCTCAGTGATGTGTACAAGGGTAAACAAATGGAACACATGCGATAAAACGTAAACACTAACAATAACAAAGCTTGTGCCCTGTTTACAAAGACAAATGTTTGACGTGATGTAAAAAAGAATGTCGCTGTCATTGAATTCTAAGAATATTCGTGTAAGTTTAATTCATTTAACTGAATTTAGTTTTTGAATAAACAAGGAATTTTTAAAATGTCAACTGTGTCTAGGCCCATTTAATCTCAAATGGAAACACGTCAATGAGATTTGTAGTTTGTTACTGAAAGGAATCGCATGTTGTTTTGTCAGTAATCAATGTTGTTTGTGGTTGTTGTCTTCACTGTTTTTGTAGAGATAATGTCAAGAATTTTCCTTGAATGTTGTCCTGGCGAAGGGTGTCAAGTATTGGGTGTACATGTATTTATGTTGTATTGGTGGAGGTTGATGTTGTACATTTTTTGGGTATATGTTGTTTTGGCGAAGGGTTGTTATTGTCCAGTATTTCGTGTGATTTCACTGCATTGGCAAAATGTAAGCTTGATGTTTGGACAAAGATCATTTTTGTCATGAAAGATTGTTGTCTGTATTTGTTGTTTTGGTTTAGGGCTGTGTTGTTAATGTTTTGGTTTGTGTTGTTTGGGTGGAGGGTTGGTTTGGTGTTGTCAGAGTTTTGGTTTGTGTGTTTGGGTGAAGGGTTGCTGTTGTCTAAGAGTTGATGTGTTTGTGATGTTTCATAAAGGGCTAGTGTTGTAAAAGCTCGTCTATGTTGTTTTTCGAAGGGTTGGTGTTGTTAAGGTTTTGGTAGGTGTTGTTTTGGTGAAGGGTTGATGTTGTCAAGGTTTTAGTATGTTTGTTGTTTTGGTGAAGGATTGTTGTTGCAAAGTTAGTGTTGTGTTGTTTTAGTAATGGCGTTGTAAAATTTGTGTTGTCAGAAATTCGGGATAATATGTTGTTTTGATGAAAGGTTAGTGTTTTTAACATTTAATATCTGAATGTTTTGTCGTTGTAGCAAAGTGTTTGTGTCGTAAGCTATAGTATATTTGTTTGTGCAGTAAGGGTTTTATTTGTCCATTTTTTTTTAAATTACTTATTTAATCGAATGATCAAATCAATCAAATGATGTGTTTAAATGAGAAGGCTTTGTATTGGTTTCGTGAAGATGTAGCATATTTAATTAAATATTTTGGCATGGTACCCTATGCTACAATAGATTTGTTCATTCTCGCCAGTTAGAAAGTTTGTTGAGAGTTTGGCTAAAATTACCGGGTATTGTTTGTGTAAGTGAAGATTTGTAATTGACTGGTTCTAGTTTGGAATAGTGAACAAAAATGTACAGATCTTCAGATGTGGTCTCTTGGTAAGTTTGAGCTACTATTTTTGCGAGTCGAGCGTTTGTAGTGTTTGAGTATATGTATATTTATGTAAATATTGTAAGAGTGTTCTTGGGTTGATAAAGGCGACTGTGCATACTTTGATTTATCTTCACTGCCAATCAGTGAAAAGTTTTTAAAAAAATTGTTTTATCATGTTTTTGATATATGGATTTATACAAAGAAGAATGAAAATTAAAATTGTATTCTGTTGGTTTAAGGCGAGATATTGCTTTTTGCATGTGCCAAGTTATGTTTACTGAGCGTCTGCGAAGAACTTATAGAGATTACATGCTTGTATTGTTTTTTGGTTTTTGACCTTTTTTCTCATGCTACTTCTATACTTTTTTTTTTAAACTTGACCAAACTTGATCTATTTTATCTTAGCAATAGTCCCGCAATTCATTGTGTTGATCATTTGTAATTAGTCCGTAGGATAATTTTATTTAATCTATCATCAATTCAAATGCATTTTTAAAATGATATTTTGTATTTTCTGGTGCTGTGTACAAGGTGGAGGAATGATACATATATGAATGTAAAAACTTTGTATTAAAAAATCTGAATAAATAATAATTGCATCCGCTGTCATTCTAAGATTTTTCCAAATAAACAACTTGAATAGAGCGACAAAAATACCCCTCCTGTGCTAGCAAAGATAAGAACAATCAAAATCGTTGCCTAAATAAGCCAACCTGCTTGAAGCCCACGCTCAATACAACTCGCCGTCATACGAAACCTCATCAAATTGACAAGGATGAAATAATTCATGATGTAATTTGATTCTGTAAAAAAGAATTCTTAAGGAAGCTCTAAGCACTGCTCACTGAAGAGTTCTAATTACTTAGCTTGAGTGGTCTACCCTTTGATGTAAAATAGAATAAATGCATGGAAATATGCAGGAAATGACACAATATAAAATAGAATAGAGTATTCTTAACATAATAATAGAGCAAGATAAATTTATTGAAAACATTATTTACATGCATTTTACAAACTAAGTAAACAAAGCGATTTATGTTCACTAACACTTCATTGTCTGAGAATAATTTTTCATGTAGAAATATGGGAGGTACCCTTGTTGAGAATGAACGAGATAAACTCAACGTACAACTTTAAGGTAGTCCTCAGGTTCAGAAAATCAGCTTTTCAGTAATTGCAAATTCTCACCAAAATGTCTAGGATGTCACAGAATAACGTGTATTTACCCATGGTATTTCTTCAAAGTTCATCACTAAAGTTAATCATATAATATAGGGAAAATTATCAGATCTCCGATATATTTTCAGTAAATGCGAATAAAAGCACCAGCTATGGATTTTCTACTTGAAAACTGATCAACAAATATATTTTTGGATTCAAAATTATAGGTATCCAGGCATTTGGAGAAAATTGCATGTTTTGCACACTTATACAGTATTTTAGTTCTGTTTACTTCAATTGTTATAGAATACATAGTGTAAAAAGTTTTTGTTAGCATTTCAAGACATCCCAGATTACTTCTTATTTCATATCATGTTAATAAGCGCCGGGATCTAATGCTACATTGTAGGAAATTTCATTTCTCTAAAAATGAATTTTATTTTTTTACTTTTGTGGGGTACAAATTTCAACTTTTTATAATATCATTTCTAAGACTTCAAAGAACCATAAATCATATTGAGATGCATAAAATGAAAATTGTTGCAAGAAAATATTTCAATTTCAAGCTTTATTTTCAGACTTTTTAAATTAAATAATAGATTTAAGAGTTATCATTCCTAGCTGAGGATCGGATATCCTTAAATGATACTATTTCCTCAAAACCCCAAAACTTAAAAAAAAAAATAAATAAATTCGACGGTCGATATTCCATAAGGAGGCTTTTAGAGTGAAGGTTTAAATTCAAATTTGCTGGTAATACGAGAGATAGACAGATACATGAAATTGCCCATAAAAAGCTAATTGGATGTAGATTAAGAGATTAAGTGTTTAAACGTATAACTTAAACCTGTGTAAACGTTTTATTGGAGATAAATATAACCTGAAGACATTTACATTGTCGATTTGTACATGTAGTCTGTTCCAACAGACAAGAAAGTGTCTTTTCAGAATTTTTTAAGCCGCTATTAAAAAAACACTTCGATAATGTTACAATAAAAACAATTTGCAAGAAATTGGAAGGAATGGCCTTATTAAGGAAAAAAGACAATAGACATATAATCGATGAACTGTACAATAAAATCTGTTATGATTTTGAACTGAGGAATACAACATGCATATATATGAAATACATTTGCAACAGCATTATTGCCACTAGTATCGGTTTCAGAAGTTTACAACTATGTAGATACACCTGTAACTACTTTATAAAAGGACGTAGTACCAGGATGTTCAAAATCCACTTAACATACTGGGCACTCTGATGTTGTCATAATCAGTGTAACTCTGCATTATTTTTATTATTCTTTTTTTGTGTATGTAAAGGCACATGTACATTACATATTTGACATGTCAAGAGAGGGACTTTACATTAACAATAACAAAGAAAATAGCCCCAACTATGATGACACTGGCCAAACTGGTCATAAAACAAATTTTGTCAAGCCTTGATGATATCTTTTTCCATGTTATAGGAGATATTTCAGGGATCTCGAAAGCAACTTTTGTCATTTCTAGATCTTTTTCTGTTGTTAAATTGTCTACACTTCCAGAACTCTTTTTGCAGGAACCACAAGAAAATAAATTGTAACATCGCATAAAAAATGGCGATATTTCCTCCTCTTCCTCCTTGTGATGTACACGAAGAATGAAGATTGTCTCCACGCAGATAAGACCGGAAATCATAAGATAAGTGGCCAAAATATACCCTATCACTGGCATAGGCTTGGATACTTGCGGTAGACCATCTGATACCAAGGACAGAAAGACCGCCAAAGCGAGAAGACACGTGATGGAGTACCCTACACGTTCACCACTATCTGCTGGTAAAATAAACACCAAAGTGTTTAACATCAGCATTACAAATACTGGAATAAAAAGATTGACAACGAAAAACAAAGGGCGTCTTTCCAGATTGAGGTTAAAGACCACGACCGAGTTTTCTCCAAGAAGCTCAAACTTGGTTTCTGTGGATGCCAAAACCCAGGCTCCATTTTCACTGTAATGAGTTAAATCGACGACCGATTGCGATGGATACATCAAGACCTCATTTTTGTTATAATCCCAGACCATGATTTTCATGCTGCACGTTTGTTTGTCAAAGGGAAAGTACCTTGTGTCAAAATCACACGTTGTTTGGTACCTATCGGCAATGTTCCAGTAGGCATTGCCGTCGGCGTAGTATTTGATTTTCGATTGTTTGAATCCTAAAAGACCCACATTTGTGGACATAGGGTTAAGAAATGTCATTGGTGGCTTCCACACAAGTGACTCGTCGATATTAATCGAAAAGGTTCCTCCATACGAAAAGGGATTCCACTGAATAACTTCGTCACGCCAGTCTATGCTGAAACTTCCTACACTGACCACTTCGCTGGTCACTTCGTCTACATTTGCGATGGTCAGCAAATGGAACGCTAACGTAACGTTCATGGCATTGTTCTGGTCAGTCACGGGTCTGGCATCCTTATTGTAACCAGATAAAACCGCGGTGTGAACGCTGTTGTATTCTGTCAGAGTCCCTCCGTCAATTTTTGGGGGGAGTAACAATAAGATTATAAGACATACAAATCTGACCAACCCATGTGTCATCATCACTGCCATAGGAGTTTTCTGATGTGTTTCCATCTAAATTCTTCAGAATCAACACAAGACCTAAAATCTTTTCAAATAAAAAAATCACTGACGCTTCTGATTCACAGGACAGACAATGGTGACTATTGGCGATTTTCAAATTCTTTTCGAGATCAGATGTAATTTTTTGTCCAGTAACGGTTTTTCTTGCTAGCACTTAAAAGGATGGACAAAACTAATTGCTGGGCATTTAAAGAAATGTAAAATATCTCCGAGGCTGTTTGCATTAAGCATTACAGACAATGTTTAGTGTATTTCAGTTCTGTCACATGTTAATCCATTATTAGACATGTTATCGTTGAAATAAGTAATTGGTTTGGCTTAAGTAATGTATCTTAATGCGTAGATATAACAAACGTTTTTAATGCCATGTCCAAATATGTTACAAAGAATTACATGAAAGAAGGCAATAAGACATTTTACACCAACAAGTGAATTTTTAAAAGAATTGTTATATATCAAAGTCAAAAGATCACTTTAGCAAGATCGATGACGTACGAGGGTTGTTCGGAAAGATGTCAATCTTCGTTATCCATCTTAGAGAAATTTAAAATGAGCACATTATTTTATGTTAAAATTTTTATTTTGTTGATGTGTGAAGTTTCATTCTATGTGATTTAATAGAAGTCATGTTATTTAATTTTAAAATCAACAAGTATGGGAACCACGGAGTAAACTCAACAACATAGCGTCATGAGGTTTTCAAAAATACTCTCCCGATACATTTCACATAGTATGGCCCAATACCAGTGCACTTACTAAAAACGTTTCTTTATCACTTGAAATTTATTTTACTAACATTTGTTCCAGATTAATAATTTTGTTTGTCAGTGTTATATTTTTTTTTTCATTGCGTAACTGTGCTTTCACAAGATCAGCAACTGTGAAGCGCCTAAGTCTCACCATGACCTTACTAACTTTTTTAAGTTTTTGAACATATTTTTACAGATAATCAGTTTTCTCATCGTCCTCGTCCGATACATAATCTCTATCATTCAAATACCGCCTGCGTCATGTACACACACATGCATGGCTCGGTTTTGACATATTTCCTACTTCTTCCAGCATTTTCAGATTTTTTTTCAGGAGTTTCCCAGAGTACAACACAAAATTGTATCGTTAACTGCTGCTCCGTGACTACTACGACGTTATCTTTTTTTCCCTTTTTTTCAATGAGGACTGCCTATCTTCTAAAATTTATTTCTTTTCAACGAAGCAAAATATTAAGTCATAATTTGGAAACAGTTCTTAATTTGAATGTCCAGAATTTTTCTGTTTTTGCGCCATTTTACAGAGGATATTACTATAGACATTATTTAGTGTACTAATTGTAAATTTTGACCTGCGCCGCGATCCGTTTTCGGCATTTTTTAAACTCTCTAAATAAGTTTGAAATAAATCACGATATTTTAACATTTATTTATACACTTCATTTGAATTTTTTTGTTGAAACATTTTTACGAAATTTGGACATAATATGACGTGAAATTAAAAAAAAAAGTTATGACAGTAGTCCGCGAACTTTCCGAACCCTCGTAATTTATCATCTTTTGTAAAACGACACATCTTCTAAATCTGATAATATTCTTGGTATCTGTGCAAGAGATACTGGTACATTTGAACGCACTGGAAAATGAAATACATTTTCTTTTACATTGTCCTTTCTACAAGGAAAAAAAAAGAATCAAACTTCTAAATGAAATAAGCACGGAAACAATACATAAATTTTAATACCTTAGATAGTTATCAAAAATATTTGTAGATCATTACATTTGTATATGTGAAAAGATTGATATTTTACTTCAACTTGGAAACTA